TTCAATGATGGTGGAACTTTACTTTGTTTCATATACATGTATGTGCTGTTTTTCCCTCATTGTAAACTTCAAAGGAAGTATATTAGTTAAGTGTCAAATGAAAACTTCAAATTCCTTCTTTTCTGTGTACCTGCATTGTGAGCTCAAAGCTTGCCCTAGGAGAGTGGCTTTGGAGAGTGGCTTTAAGCAATAACCCGAGTTAACAGTACATTTACCGGTAAATGTAATTTTGAATGCTGTGGCTGCCAGTTCACTTTACCGAACTGATTTTTTTTTAAGATATGGAAGGACGTTGTACAACTTGGCTTTTTTCTGGTCAGATACTTTACATGGTTGATGTACTGTAGCTGTCACGTCAAGAGATTAGTCAAATCTGAAAGGGCCACTGCGTATGGGACTCCAATCCCATTACCCACTGAGGGTAGGTTTTCCATACGTTGTCCAGTAACTGCAGTTTCAATATCCAGCAATTATTCACAAAGGTTACAGCCACAAGGGATGTTTAGTATCTTCTTTCTCCTTTCCCTTTCCTCTTCTCCTCTTCCCCCCCCAGCCCTCCCCTCCCCTGGTTTATGCCACTCCCTTTCCCTAGCCCCTACCCATGATGGAGGAGATAGCCTGTTAATAGTGACTGGCTGTTGAAACCAATCCTCAGGGCTGTAGATATTAGGAATCAATCATAGGAGATCCGCTTACACGTTGGGCAGGGATGTACTACTTGGCTAGCTGTATGGCTTCTTGCTTTGCCTGCCGTTGCTTCCTCTTGTTCCATTTTTTTTTCTCTCCCGCTTTTTCCCCCTCCCATTTTTTCCCTGCCCGTCCTCCTCCTGTCACTGCTAAGGCCAACAGACTGTTGTTAATGAAAACTTCCCGTCTGTTGTGATAGTTCCTATCAGTTGGAAATCTTGTGGAAAACACTTGTACGTGGGATGTTAAATCATTTACGGTGTTTATTCTCTGGGGGGGGGAAGTTCGACTTGGGGACATGAAATGGGAGCCGGGCCGTGTAGGGAATGGCTAATCATTAAGTAGCAATCCCCCATGCTCAGTGATATCAAACGGTCAAATTAACTAAACAGTCCCACGGGTGAGTGTTTGTGTTCATTGGTTCATGAAGAAAATAGACTGGTGTTCGACTTCAGCATGTTTTAGGAACAGTAGCATGATAACCAGTTTTATATTGAGGAAATAAATGTATTTGATACAGTGTAGGAAGTACTTATTGGCAGGTGGGCTGGCCATTGGGGTTGGAGAAGGGAAGAGGACTGATCTCATTGATTTTTATGCTTGTTAATCTGTTTTGTCAATTTTTTTCTTTGTCTAGGCCCGAGTTCATTTGGAATAGAAAATATTAATTAGTACCTGTATATTTATGTACTCAGCAAAAAATTAGCTGTAAACTAGTAACTGGCTGTTAACAACACGTGGCATTTTTGGCCGGTAATCACAGGGGATTTCAGAATTCTTTTTCCATCAGAAATTTCCTGATTTTAAGATTTTTTCAAACAATTTCTTTTGAACACCTGGAAAATCCTGAGTTAACCATCAAGGTGCTTTGTATGTACAATGTACATGTAGGGTATAATTTGAAACCGAACATAAGAAGTGGATGTTTTATGTAAGGGGTATCTTCAGGCCAACACATTCTATTTAAAAAGTCTCCAAATATCATGCACTTCTGTTTCGTCTTTCCGAATGTAGACTTTTTTTTTTATTCAGAACAAAAGAAATCATTTCTCATTTGAATTCTTTTCAGCCAGCGTACACAGTTCATATCTGGCATGTAAAAATCTCACCAAGTACACGTAGCTGTATGGGATCATATCGGTACATGTTATCTCAAAGCATTCACGCCACTGTCGCTGTAATATCTCAATGCTTCATGAGTTCTAAACTTTGGGTTGGAATGTACATGACATTTGCACTTGTGCGTCATCTTTTATCATTTAAATATCTTAATCTTAACTCATTTACCCTTCCTGCCACACTTTTATTAAGCAGAAGGATCAGTGAAGTTAGTAATGAACACTGAGCAGAACCGTTCCCTGATACAGCCACATATCACCTGTCTATATCAAAGACTTTTATCCTTTTCATGTTGCCCATCTGCAAACTCTGTCAGCTGCTCATAGTATTGGATGAACTTTCTTGCAGTGATCTACTGTTGGCGACAAGCAGAAATAGACAGACTGCTAAACACTGTCACTGTGCCATTCGTTCCTTGTAGACTTTTATTTCTGCACCGCACAACAAGGCGCAATGATGCCGAGTGTGTAAATACCAAGGGACAGATTAGATAGTGTACCGTTGGCATGCGGGTTGCCGTGGTAACACAGCCCAAGCAATTTGTGCGGTGGTTTGTCTTATTAAGGATGAGTGAGTGGCCACTGGCGAGTTACCACTTCATGGGTATTGATTCCCCAGCAATTAGGTGTATTACTATCTCGATGTGATCGCTGTTTCTTGCCATCTGCAGTTTTTTTTTGTACACGTATGTATGCAGTGCTCATGTATAATTTGGATGCAGTTACCATGGCCATCCCCCCGGAATAGCACCCGCCGTACTCACAGTCTCTCTTATTTTGACCATGTCCATCAAAGTATCTCATGAATAATCATATTACTTGCTATTCAAAACGACGGTGCCATCCCCGCTGTACACACAGACCATCTTCAAACCACTACCAAGTCAAATTAATTTGATATTTGCGATCGGTACAGTGTGTACATAGACACACACGCTCGCACGCACCCACACAGGGGCCGATCGTTGCAAGACTGTTTTTTTCTTAAATGGTGTGTGGAGCGATATGATGGCAGTGCACCAGGGGAATATTGTGTCCAGTCTGGCCAGGGGAGTTGATGGAAGCCATGCAAAGTGGCACTACGGTCTCTGAGGTATTCACCAGTGAATTAGCAGATGGGGAAGCTCCCCGTGAAGTGGGCGTTAAGTGCTTGCGGCATTCCCCCACCCCCCCTTGCTGTGCAGCCTGACTGGATTTGTTGGTTTTCATGAGGTGAGCTCTTTTAGGACCAGGAGTGATTGCGAATGAGTGTAATTGGCCAGCACACGGTCAAGGGAATTAATGCTCGCCCCCAACAGTAATAATGGTAAAGCAGTGACTCTTGGGACGAGCGTGGGTCGCATTTCATCTTTAATGCGTCATCTTGACCTTGACCTGATCTGGAGGGCTGCTTGGCCGTTTGATATTTAGCAGTGAGAAGGATGTTATAATGTTGGACATGATCTCATGCTCAGTTTACAGTGTAAATGTCAAGCGTGTTATGAACAACACCAGTCTTAGTGCATTAAACATTCCAAAAAAAGTACTCCCTTGGCTCCTAGTCACAATACATGTGCATGTTTTGGGGGTTTGTTTGTTTTATTTACTACATAAAAAATTATGTGTGACCAGTATATTCAAGTACTTCTTGTATCCCTAAATTGGAAACACTATGACACATGTATTTGTACATATATATACATCACATTAAAAACATTTTTTAATGGGTTGGCTGTGTGTTTGATCACTGGTAGAGGATGTACGTGTGTCAGTACATATCTTAGTGCTGTGTATCACTGTATGGACTAATCCGACAACCAGAATTACATGTACCGTAAAAGCCGTTACTGTGGGGTCATCCTGTTCGCACACAGGTGGTACGCGCACGTTCTTCTCTGACCTATAGGGTGTTGTGACTTTCCAAAATGCGTGCATACACTCAAGTTAAAACCCTTGTGTAACTGTGGTGACTCCACAGGAATGGTACAGTATCTCCTCAGATTTCTCTAAAGCTGTGATACATGTATACAAACTGTACCAATGCACATGTACCAATGTTTGACCTCAGGTTTGGTCTATTATTGTCATTTATGGTAAGGCTTGGCCATTTGAAATTGGTTTATACAAGTAGCTGTCCCTGCTGCTATTGGAGCTTGTACATGGGTGCAATAGTCATATGTCATCAAAGCACAGCCATCCTTGAATGGATTGCTAGGAAAGCGTTCATTTCTGTCCATACTGTCTGTATGAATTTATGCCTTGTTTTGTTCTTGTCTGGTGACGCACAAGTACATGTAAATGTATGGTTGTGCATTAGGAGTCCTTTTGTTTTTGGTGCCACATATGGCATACCAATAGGCCACATGCCTATGCATGAGTGGGTGAAAATGAATTATGTATGAATCGTCAGTGTACCGTATGTCCTTTCGATCAGGGATTGGCTGTTTAATTTTTAGGCCGTTTGTCATCGAACACATGTACTCTGTGCACCCTGTACCCGTCGAAGTTCTTAAAATTCCAGGCTTCAGGGATGACATTTCAAATAATAGAATTGAGGGAGGTGAAAATACGGGTACATACATGTATTTAAATGTCAGTTTTCCTTTCACTAATCTAGTTTTTACGTGCAGAAGCATTGCATATCCACTGATGTTTGTGAAGAACAAAATCCAATGTTACTATTTATGAATCTCGCTGTACACGCACATGTACATGTAAGTTTAGACAGCATTTGGTTAAGCTATCATCTTGTTTGGCCGATATGGTTTCTTTGCTTTTCTAATCATGACAATTCATTTTTATTTACAATATTTTTTGTATTTCAAAGGCATTTCTCCTATTGGGACATGAACATTTTAATTTGTTAACAGTTGTTGAAGTCAAAATATGAAAATGTCCACAACGTACCGGTACCATGATGCTAACTAGTGATGCTCCCTCTTTTTATCCTGCAAAATAAAAAATGGACGTCCAATTTTTCTAGCTTTTACAGGTAATGATTGATGTGAAAATTGCAAGTGAAAGCATTGGGCGTTTGAAATCTGGTCTTGGTTCTTGCTAATGCAGTACCCACCAGGCTGGTGTCTGTCACACCTTGTGAACAGCCAGCACAGCACCCCTGAGCTAAGAGGCATTTCCAAGGGTTTTTTTTTGCACCACAATAAACTTTGACCTTGGTGTCTCTTCCCTGTCTTGATGTGTGCATGTTGCCAACAGAGGAAGGAGGACCAGTACCAGAAGTGGCAGAGCTTCAAGGCCAAGCAGCGCAGTGACAAGCACGCCACGCTGAAGAAGAAACTGGCCCTGCAGCAGGAGTTGATACAGGCCAACGACGAGTTGCACTTGCAGCGGCAGATACTGGAGAAACAGCGTCAAGCCGAGGTGAGTTTCAGTCAGCGAGCCACCATCAAAGACATACAGGGCCTATTCGAAACCCCATTCTCACGGGACTGACGAAAAGTGTTCTTGGGTCGTTGATTACGACGCTGAAGTGCAGAAGGAGTGCAGTTGTGCTGAACGTCGAGATAGGAGTCGCCATTTTACACCAAACGAAAAGATGGCATGATATTTACCATCTCACATAAATTAATGTCACCAAATAGCCATATTAAATGGTCAGGGTAAAGTCTCTCGGATAGCCATGAGTATTTGCCCTGGGTTTTATTTACCTTATTAGGAGTGTTTTCTATTTTATGTAACAAAACCAAAATCCATGTCCTGATGTGCCAGCTTTGTTCTTGATGTTCTCCATCCACTCCCCAGAAAGTGGAGAGTAAGAATCTTGTTCGCCAACAATGTTCGCGCGTTGATTCTCCCCATTCGAAACCCCATTCTCCTGTTAGTCCAACATGAGAACACCCACGGTGTGTACGCTCAAGGTGTGCTGATGTACCGTAGTTTCCCCCACCTCTGCTGCATGTGTTCATCATCCGGCCTCCATGTTTTTCCACCGACACTTCCCACTTCTCCTCCCTCTTCCAAGGCCCCCCCCCGATTATTCCATCCCTGCATTGTAAATCAGCAAGGGGCTCGTAGGACTCTTGTAAAAGGCTTACTGATAGGAGCTTGCTGTTTCAGCTGCCTGTTCTAAGCAGTCAGGCAGACATCTTGTGATTGAGTTGAGATGGAGGTTTTTTTTCCTCCGTCCCTCAATTCTCCCCCCTCCTTCCACCTTGTTGGAAAGGTTAAGGCACTGTAACACTCACAGGGGATTATTTGAGATAAGAAGCAGTCTGGGGAGGATCTTCTGAATGTCAGAGGGGTCATTGGAATCTCTTTGAATGGAGGATTTCCTTTCCCCCTGCTCAAAAATAAATTTCTCGGTGCTACATAAAAAGGTTCATGCAGAAAAGAAAATAGTCGGTGAGGATATCCCATTTCGTTTGCGAGCGTAAGACAACACTAGAGAGAGCTCAGGGATATGTGTCTTTTCATATCATGCCCCGAAGGGTTGAAGGGTCATCATTATTTTCATTGAGGTGCATGATATCCTCCAATCTTGTAAAAAAAAAAAAAAAGAACAAACATGCATTTTTTATTTGTTTTTGTCTGGTACTGAAAAGTGAAAACAATGTCAAACAGTTCCTGTTGTAATTGCATTGCATATGGATTTGTTCTAATCATTCCTTTAATGCAGTCAACTGTATTATTTCGTTTTTGTTTTAAAGCTACATGTATGACCCACTGTACTAAGTCCGATCTCTTTTTTCGTTCTTTTAACCCCACAAAAATATGATAAAACTTCTCGTATATACAACATCCTTTTATTAACACCCAATTTTTACAAATATACAGTGTACTTTAATTTGGCACTTTTTCACTATCCTTTGCCTTTTTTAACAGGGTCCAGTTTTCCTCAAAATTTGTTAAACCTCCCCCCCTTTCCTGTAAAATGATGTGTCACTGATCACACATCCCCTTTTTGTGGCTGTCTTTGCCGTGATAAATGGGGGTTTTATTCTGCCAATTTCTGGTGTCTCGGTTTGTAATGCTCTCTGTATCAAATGTGAGTGGCAGGTCTGTGAGGAGAGCATTGGTGGGGAGCGTTTTCAAGGCAACCGGCCTGAGAGGCTGGTTTTTTGTTTGTGTGTTCACATTTCAGACAATGGACACCTCAGCGCCGATGCACTAAGCAGTGACCTCCGCTTCGCTTTTGCTGTCTCACGGCTCAGTTCCCTCACAGGCTGATTAATGTACGGCCTTGTGTTGGCATTTAAACAGAAACTGCGGGATTGAATTCAAGCTGGCTTTGTGTCGTGATGTGTAAGAGAATCCTCTTCAATCCTCCTTGTAATGAGGGGATGAGCGTTGCTGAGAGGGCTAACATTATGACAACATGCGGCTCTCCGAGGAAGGCTGACAGCATGGCAGGAAGCCTGTCTGCTTTCATCAGATGGAAAAGCCCCCCGAATCGTCTGTCTTTCGACATCTTTGCGTTGAAGCTGTTGTCACTATTTATGTGTAGATAAAAACTACCTCCAAAATTTCGCTAAGAAAAAAAAAGGTTGAAGATGGAAATTAGAAATGATTTCCACAGAAGTAGTCAATCAGAATAGATAGGAATTGGGAGGAAATGGTACATGCTGTGGACTAATTTCCCTTTGAGAAATTTATGAAAGGAAAAGTCCAATTTGGTATTATTCTGCATTTTGACAACAGAAGTTCCCCTTCAAAACCTCAAAGCTTTCTATGATTTCAGTTGGCATACCCATATGCAACTTTCTGATGTCATCAAAAACTTGATTATCAAGCTTTTCAATTTTTTTACTCCAACCGTAATTAAATTATCAGACTAAAATGGGTGGTGAATTGTTGGTTAAATGTACACGTACATGTACCGGTATGTATCATAAACCTGGGAAGTGTCACTTTGTGTTTCATTCTGATGAGACAGCCATAGATGAAGCCCGGCAAATGCAAAACGCTTTGGAAATAACAACGTTAGAAGGGTAACAATTTAAGACACACTGCCTTTGACCGTAGTTACTTTGTGTGCGAGCAGAGTCAAGTTTAATTTGTCCCAGAAGGCCAGAAGATTCATTCAATCCATCTTCAATGCAGCATCCAGCACTCACCAAGTCCTCAATGAAGTAACTTGAATCAACCGCAGAATGTAGCACGCACTCCACTACCGCAGGACCTCTGTCATTTCTGCTGAGCTGTGCATTCTCAGGTGCATTCAATGCCATCCAGCGTGGAGACTGGTATAATAGGATTTCTTGTTGAAGAAGGACAATTTTTGCCTTCACGTTTACGAGGCAATAGATATGCTGTATCCTTGAGGCTTGTAGTTGTATTCACACCACATCTTGATCCTTAGTGCGTCTAGCTCTCGGTGGAAAAATGCAACTTTGTTTTTGTGGTACATTAGCATTTGTAAATGCCGTGTATGTTTTTATCCAAATGACCCTTTAATGAAGCACCCACTGCTTCAGGGAATGCATATTCAAATTCTCTGCTGCAGACATACTGACAACATGGTAAGCCCGTCTTTTCTCGGATGAAGATGGCGCTTCAGTTTGCATTTTACATGCATGTTGCAAGCAGAGTAATGCATTTTCAGGAATGGTCGTGGCTAATTAGTTTGTTTGCTTGTTGTGCCAGATTTTACGATAGAGCAGAAAAATGTACATGACAAGAGTATTGTATGTCTTTTCATTGTCATCCGTGGCTCAGTGTGCCCCGAACAAAATTAACTTGCTTTTATATGTACGTGTACATGTATATAGATCATTCCTCGTGTACATTGTACAGGGTACCAAACTTCGCAGTGTGTAAGGTTTTCAGCTTGAGGACAATCAAGTAATGTGATTTTGGAGATGAATATAAACATGTATAATCTCACCTCACCACAAACATTTGGCAAAGGGAACATGCTACGGAAAAATTGAACCACTGAATGACCTTGTAAAGACACACATGTACATGTATATCAGTCTTTGGTGTGATGAGATGACCGAGATTGTGTACCAAAAATCAGGTGAATTTCATTTTCAGTTCTGTGGCAGTAAGGGGGATTCACTTGAATGTAACTTCCACATGTTGTCGTGTCAAAATGGAAATTGGACATACTGAACACCAGCTGCCAATGACATACGGTACATAGAGCTGCGATGCCCCCCTAAAGTTCTGTTTCCTGTTTCCCAACCTACCCAATATGAAATTGGCAAAAAAGAAAAAGAAATGTTATTGTTGTACTGGTACATAACCGTAGATTGAATGTGGTTCAGAGAGGTTCGATGGACTTACACCTGCAATTGGTACCATTGCACACAGCAGGAGTTCCCTTTCAAGTGTTTGTTTCATTTAAAAGAAATCCCACTTGACCCTTCTTGCTGTTGTTATTCCAAACCATGTAAGTAGCCGCACATCCTAAGAGAAAAGTGCCTGCATGTGCCATTTACTTGCCCTGTTATAAGATGCCATGAAGTGGGAAGCAGACCTTTGTTTGCCTAACCACAGAATTCATTTGCTCAGCACGATGACTCTATTTGCTTCTGATTGGTAGCCATCCGAAAGATTTCTTGGCATATACCGTACATGTAAATTTACTAAATGGCATCATAAAATTAGGCCCAGTTGGTAAAGCAATAATTTGTAGCAAGCAAATTCAGCCAATTTTGGCCAGTTTCACTGTCATTCCACCTACATGAAGTCTTATCCAACCACAATGCCAATCGCAGCACTGAGTTTGAGTAGCATCTAGTATCCGTGTACTGCTACAAACCTGCACATAATTGCATTGCCACCTCAGTGATGGCTTTTAAATGTGGTCTCCCAATGATCTGTCTGTACAGCCACACAATCTGCATGTCCAGTGTCTGTCTGATTCCGTCATCTGTTCAATCTTTCCAGTGTCAAAAACCTTCTGCTTTGCTTTGTGACACCTCTCCTGCGTCAGGATATTTTTTCCCGTCATCAGTTTTGTCTGCCAACCATCAGTAATTTGATTGGAAGTTGATTTCTGTGCACGTACATCGCAATGAAATCTGTGATTCGCATACTGTAACTAAAGGACAAGGATTTACATAGTCCCTGCAAGAAACTAGAAAAACACCAAATTTAGATTCCGTGTCTATTAATGGTTATCTGTCTATTAATGGTTATCTGTAGTCATCAGTTGGGATATGTGTAATGCACAAGCATTATCACAAGATTTTTGAAATCCCAAAGTGCTGTAAATAAACATGTACAGTGAACATCTGTTTGAGGAGTTCCTTCATACTGCCCATATGTAGGCTACATTTACATGTACAGTTATAAACAAACTGTTGGAATTACTTATAGTTACAGAAAGATTCCAGCCTGAATGTCTAGATGTTTTCACAAGTGACTGATGTCCACAGAGTCTTTAAATAGATCAAATATTACTGTACATGTGTATTCTGATTGTTGTCTAATCGAAAGAAAAAAGATCTTTCTCCTAGTTACGAGTACTAGGGATAGGACTACATTCAGAATTCCTCTAACCACAGAATTCTGCATTTACCACCTTGGCAGGGAAATTATGCACTAATCCCTTGAGCCCAGTGTCAAATTCCTTGTTAACCTGTGAAACAGGCTAATAGTTTTTCTGCCAAAGGTGTAGAGCGTCTTTCCTTGGGATTGGAACCATCAATTGTAGGCCCAATTTACTCTCACTTCATATTAGATTAGCCAGAAACTCAAGACTCAGGTTTGATGCACATGTACATGGAGTGTGGGTGACACAGAACACAGTAACGGGACAGTGGGCTACTGTCATGTTGGCAATGTTGCTCAGATACATTTTTGCCCTGATGTGAGCACTTCCCAACAATATCCTGTGAATCAGCATGCAGACTAAGACTGGAATGAAACCAAACTATGGGATACCAAACAGGTGTGGTTTCTGCTTTTAATAAAAATCAGCATCCATCATATTGCCCCAAAATTGGCAGTAGCTTATTTTTCCCCTCCATTTTTGACTTCAAAGAATTCAGATTTTCTAAAAACAGGAGACGCTTGCCGTTGATGGTTTCAGCAATGTACGTGTACACTACTCAAAAAAAAGTTAAGGACCACTTTTTTCGTAACTAGTAATTTTTTTCCTAGCAATGACTGAGTTCTAGTTCTATCAATTTTTGTTTGTCTAGATGGTGTTCTCATTGGAGTAAAAAATTTTAAGAAATGTTTCAAAACATCAAATGCAAATTTTCAGCAGTGAAATATCTCATATAAAAATGTATACACAAAATAAAAAGTGGTCCTTAACTTTCTGTGAGTAGTGTATATTAAACCGTCATGCTATTTCACGTTTTGGGTGTTGAAGTACATGCTGGTACATGCCCAGCCATCCAGGAAATACTACTCATATACATGTATGTAGACATGAATCGTCTGCATGCCTGACATAGGGGTGTGTTAAGCAAGCTGTTAGACATGACTTGTGTTTTGTTTTAATAATAATAATATGAATTATATTAAAAATGCTTTCCATGTCAACGACATCACAAAGCGCGCTACCTGAATTCTCCTCTGGTGGCACATGATGAACTGGTCAAGCTACATGTACACATGTACATGTACATGTAGGCGTGTTGCCTGTGAGCAGCAAGCACCTGACGGACAGGACAGGGGGAGCCCATGGAGAGCGTCTTGCATCAAACCCCCTTGCCACCCCGGGGCCTGGTTTCAGGTGGTGGATAGTGCCCAGACCGGAATGATCTAAGCACCAGTTGAAATCAGAGCCTCTGCGTGGTCACTCGCAACTCTGGACATCTCCAGGGTAGGATGGAGACACAGAGTCCCGTCTGACCGTGGAGAAGGTCCTTGCTCTCGGGTCTGACTGAGGACCCTTCAGCCGTCCGCCATCCGAATACCGAAGAGACTCGGCCTGTCAGTGAGTGTCAGGAGGTTGAGGATTAAGATTGATCGTGCTGCGGGAGATGTTGGAGGCACCATAACCAGTGGAAATGATGGGGGGAAGATCTGACCATTGAAAATTGTTAAACAAGGAGAAAAAGAAGCTGAAACTGTTCAGAATTTATCTGAGCCACTTAGAAAGGGTACCTTTACGCTGGATGGTCTCTGTTCATGCAGGATTTTCTCTTCTCAGGATGGAATAATTCATTGCCAGCCAGCAAAATAAGCTTCACTGGTGTTAATGATTAAAGTTTAGGCCAGTAAATTCATATTTGAAAGGTGGTTTTGTGACTCGAGGTGCAGTTAGTCACCAGGGGTGTGAAATATATCTTCTAATTATTTGTAGAAATACATGTAGCTTGCAAAAGCTATCTCCAGATTGGTTGGGTTTTTTTTATTTCTAAGGCCTGAAGACTTTTCCATGCGGTGGATTTCCAGCCCATTTGTGTCTATTGTACACATTTGGTTTATACCTAAACTACAAATCTCACTCTTATGTCAGACACAGCACAGACTGAGACCCCAGGTTCATAAAGGCGGCTTAAGTGAGAAGAGTTGGGATTTGTCTTGATTGATACTGACAAGAGCACAAGCCTGAAGGAATCTTGAGCTGAGTTCTGAAGAGGCGGCGCCGATTCCGAAGACTGTTTTTTCTTGGTGCTTAGAGTCCTTCTTTTTGTCGTCTAGCACCATGAAAAAGCAGTCTTTGTGGTTGGTATGAACCAAACATAACTCACTGATACACAGGTGTAAGTACAGAGCAAGCTGTCGGCAACTTAGCAGATAGTTCAACTTAAAGACAAACTCCTTTTTGTTGTTGTATTTCCCCACAAGAATCTGTAGATCTTCAAGAACTTCATAACTGCTCATTTACAGAACCAGAAGTTGCAATTCACAAGTTATTTTTAATTGACTGTTTATCGACTTTTGTTTACATGCTGTACTAGATGGAAACGGATGAACCTTCCTCAGTAAGTGTACAGGCGTGATAACAAAATGTATGATTCAGACAGCACTAACCCTATCTGTAAATTTGAACTTTCCGTTATATCGATTGTCAATTTGTTGGCACACTATGAGTGGATTGAATTTCAATCTGAATATACATTCATGCACACTGCACACCACATGTACATATACATGTACCTACATGCACAAGATTTGTTCACCTACATGTAGTATTTCACCACATTTTACCAGAGTTACATATGTAATTCTAGATGAAAACTGGCAAAACTGCCGCTGTCTTCAGTGATATTTGTAAGAAACATTGGATCTTTAGTTAGAAATGACAGTGGTTCAGAGGGTTGATTGTACAAAAAATATAGATTTTGCACAAACATGACTATTTCAACTGGAAGTGAAAATTCACTTTGTTCATCTATAAAGTCTGTTGATTTCCACTATTTCTGTTATTTGAACATTCCCCCTTCTGTCAATTTCCCCCTAGTGGTTTTCCACATTGGTTTTTCCATCTTCTTGTACCGGTATTTCATTCTTTGCTTTACTTAGAAACAAAATTTCAATCTATGTGTAACATCTTTCTTTTGTTTGCAGTGCCTGTCTCAAATTCTAATATTCTCAACTGACGAGAAATTAATTGCGGTTGATTTAGGGCAAAATCAACATCGATTATGAAGGGCATTTGTACATGCCGCTTTAACCTTCTATTCTCGAGGTTCCCGAGTCTAAAATGAGCCCCAGCTCATGTCATCCCTTGCGTGCCACTTAACCACTCTGATGCATTTACCGAATTTGTAAATAATGGGCCATCTCTCATTTTGATATATGGGATATCCACCAAAAAAAAAACTAATTGCAAAAGTCAATGCGTGCTTAATATTTGCCCGATTCACCATCCCTCATTCAGCGTGCTTCCATGAAAGTTGTGGGACATGTCTGTGTGCGTCCCTCACCCATTAGCGATATGGGCGGACAATTTGATTATGTCAATACCAGAGGATGGTCTAGCCTCATGCAAATCTGACTTGAGCTGAGGCCCGACCGTGGGGAATAGTACACCTCGTCGGCATTAACATCTCTGTAGATTTAGCCTGTGCCGTTCAGTAAATTCACGCAACCCTCGCCCACTTTGAACTCCATCGCCATTTAGTTCAAGGGCAGATTGAATTTATCTTCAGGTTTTTTCCTCTCCTCACCTGTGTGGACATGAAAAGCATATTGAACTGTGCTTCGTCTGCAAGCCAGTTTCTCTTTTTTTCAACAATCGCTGGTGAAATGAATGCTTGAACGTCATCACATTGAGTATCCATGGATGAATAGAGCATTTCAAGTAAATGACTGCATGTAGTGGTATAATGTCCAGAAGTGTGTATTTGCTATTTGACATTTACGATAAGATATTTACTTTTATATTTCATCAAAAAATGCTACGTGTATTTGTTAAAGTGAAACCTCACAGTTCTTTCATTGTGGTACATGTGCAATTGTCAAAGAATGGTATCCTTTCGTGGCTTGTGAGGAATGAGTCCCATACAACTGCCCAAAAAATTTCAAGCCATGGCAAACGAATTCTTGGAATCTGGTGCCATTCATGGTAAATTGACTAAACCCCCAGATTCACCCATTTTGCATTTCCTCCAGTCAGAAATTGGCCCGACAGATGAGACAAACAAATTTATCATTTCACCCATTAAAAATAGTCCAGTAATTCATTTCTCTTCCCCAGCATCAATCTACTGGCCAGTCTTTGGGGGAGAATGAATAGATGGCGAAAAAAAAATACAGGAGACTCCAAGCATTATAAATTTACAGGCTCTAGGGAAAAGACAAATGCTACATCCCCTCATACATACTGCCCCTGATGGTTCATGCTGTACACGTAGGGACGTGTACAGCGGGAGTCTTCTCTTTTCCTTGTTCTTCCACTCGAGCGTGCAGCCTTTAGAATTCGCCTGTTCACCTGGAAAAAATTTGCTGAAAAGACACCACATGCATGTGACCTCCAAATAACGTGATGGCTTTCCTCTCTTTTTGTGTGTTGAATTCCCTCTTCCGTATCTGTAGATTCGCGAGGCTAAACGACAGGAACGACGGCAGATGCAAGAAGCGCTGACGCAGAGAGGCAAAATTGATCTAGGTAATTTCTATGGAGGGCTTTTTTTTTTCTTTCTTTTTTCCAAGTCAGATTAAAATGACCTTAATATTACCAAACTGGGGCTTTTTTCTCCTCTTTCACGTGGGCGTGATTATGTCTGACAATATCATAAATTGTAAAAAATAAACAAGTCATTCCTCATTGTTACAAGACCCTGGCTAGTCAGACATCGCCCACTCAAATATCAAGTTCCATTCTCTGTCCATCAAAATAAAAACGAAATCAGACTAGTGTAAATCAGTGATACTTTGGTCAGGTTATTCAAACTCGTAATGATGGTTTATTTTAGTTTCCCCTTTGGTGCTATTTTTAGCTTATCCACTTTGATATTTTATACATGTAACACAGATAGTGTGGAAATACTCAAGTAGAGAGTGCCGTTGCTTTATGCACTCCAGTCAGGAACAAGAAAGAGCATGGTTTTTATGCGGCAACAACGATCCTCTGGTGGGAACTCATAGCGTGCGCGCACTGGTTGAGGCATGTCGGGCGTGGATGCGCTGTGCACACAAGACCAATTTCAGTTTGAATGTAATGGGGTCTTTGAATGTGCGTCAGACTGGAAACCTTTCCACCAGGCTGTCTCCCATTTGCCAGTGATGGTGCACTTATAAAGGATGGGATTGATATGCCTTTTGAGGCAAAACCTGACATCAGTCAATCACCAAGCAATTTCTGTCCAAAGTTTGGCCTTCCTGTACGAATAGTAGGCAAAACAAGTGAGGCCTATAAGAGATTTATTGGTTTCCACAGGCTGATTTCAAACGGAATCGCTAATCTTGCTATCCTGCTCCAATGGCCGCTCAGTGACAACTATTTGTACCAGTAAAAACTGTTATGCTTCACAGCCTCGCATTGCGTCAGACAGCTGCTAAACCCACCGGTCCCATTCAGTTGGTTTCCCGGGGGCTTCCCTTTTATTTTAAATGCAATAATTAATATTGTTCAGAGTAACGAGAATCATTCAAAGTGTTCAGTTTAATTAGATTTTAAAATGCACAGTCATTTAGGAATTAGTGATTTAGGCAGACTTGCCAAATGGAAAATTTTATAGTATTATGGTTTTGTGTTCTGTGAAGCTGTAGTTTTTAGTGTGCAGAATGTAATTCCCTTGATAGATTATAAATCCTGACTGCTTTTTGCGAGAAAAGCAGGCAGGGTTTTTTTGGGGGCACATTTAGGCTCTCTCCCCATAAACAAATGTTTTAGCCCCCACAAAAGAGAAAAGAAAAGGAGTCGAATATTTGAAAGAATACAAGTATTGAAATTATGAATGGGAATTCAATATTTTATGCTCTTTGAACATTTATTTCATTGCTGACCGTTTCCAGTTTTGCAGAATTTGTAAGAGGATATGTCTTGTGTCTGCCTGTGGTTTTTCTTTTCCAGATTCTTCGTCTGTGCCCAAGGCTGGGTTATTCTCCAATGCCCTTCATCTAATATCTACCAATATTTTGCTGTTAAACAGAGAGTGAAAGGCAAGAGGCTCGCACCAAGCGCCGAGCGGCCCGAAAGCTGGCCGCCAAGCTCCAGCAAGCGTCACTCGACTCCGGAGACAAACAAGAGCAGTGCACAGCCCCACCGGCCATCGGCCGCACGCTCAGCACCATCCCCAGCCGAGGGGAGCACCGCAGCGGTCGGCTGTCCGTGGTATCCAGCAGCGACGAGGATGACAAGGATGAAGATGGAGAACATGACAGGTAAGTGTGTACACTGCACTCGCCTCGTGCAACATGCCTCTTTCGCATTCATATCTTGTGTTTCTGGACCCTGGGGCCTTCCAGGCTCTCTGTTTGCTCCAAGTGCTATATCCGTAGCCTTAGAGTGACAAGAACAGGATGTTGTGTGAAGGGGGCAGAACAGAAAGGATGGGGGTACACTCTTGTTGAAGGCAGGACAGTAGGGTTAAAACTAAGACGGCCCAAGTGCGGTTAAAAAAAGTATTGGGAGGCCTTAATTAGCTGGAATCCCAAAGGAGTGTTTTCGTATTCTGCCTGAGGGAGTATTCGCAGATTTTTGTCATCCAAGTGCCATATTATTCAACACATAAATTGCACGTCAGAGACCTCAAGTTGCCACCTCTGTCATTTTTCAAATTTGTTGTAATTTGCACTGTGTAAGTTCACCTGTGTCACGGCTGACTGGCAGTTCAAATTAGCAGCATCTTTTTTCTTATTTTGTACAGTTCAAGTGTCTCAACAGAGCCATGCTTAGACTTGCTCTGCCTACTGTCCAAAATACTTAAGTTTTTACCAGCCTCTCTTAGGATTTTAGATCCCTCACTCATGCTAAGTTCAGATACAGACCTTATCCAACTTTGGGGAAGAGGTTGGTTCAGCTAGTTGACCAAGGTATTCAATTTACTTGGGAAAATGTTCAGAAGATGGTGGAGCCATCTACAGTGAAGCCCAAGGTTTGCAGATTTCATCAGTTGGCTCCAAAGAAGAGTTTCCAATACAATTTGGAAATAGATAATAGAAAAACAAGGGTTTGAGAATTCAGCTTTTTAGCTAATTTCAGCTTTTTTTGTTTAGATGTTGAACCTGAATTTCAGTGTTAATGTTCACCTAGTCTGTACAACAGTATGGGAACTTTTTATGTATCAGCTTTTTGCTCGCTGTTGTCAGCTTTAATTTTAAGTGACCACTCACACCCCTTAAAAATCGAGATGTGTTGGTTTTGTATTGTGCCTTCATTTTGAAAACACCACTAAGCAGACTATGCAGAACAGCATCTTTAGATTCATTTCTTAGGTTCAGTTGACAGTCCAAGGACCTCTCTGGCAATTTTGGACAAAGGTCAAACCACTTGTCCTCTTACCCTTTCAGAGAGGAGGTCGACAAAGATACTCTCCCTCACCAGCAGGACTTGTACAAGATCTTTGGCCGAAAGCAAGCCAACTACTTCCTACGGCCCAAATCGAGCCCGAGCAGAAGAAGGTGGTGCCAGTGCCCCAGTCCCTCCGCAAACAGGGAGGTAAAAAAGAAATTGTTCGCTTTGTTCACATGTATTGTTCAGGTTTTTTAATTTACACGGTCAGCTTTGCCATTGTGACACTTGGATTTTTGGGTAATTTAATTCCACATTTGAAACCCAGCCTAACGAATGAGTTGCATGTTGCAAGAGCTACTTTTGAGTTGAAGGCATTGAACCACTTGCTGCCAGGTGGAATTTGAAGTTGCATGATATGAAACCGGGAGATTTTCCATTTTCAAAATTCTTCAAAAAATCATGACTTCATTTACTGGATGTTTACTCCCACACGAATGGTGGCTACTCTCATCCGGGCATCAACATTTATTGATGCCCGAGTATTTCAGCCAGGCCTGCCGCCTGGTAGAACAAGCCCAGATTGTGCGGTGTTACGTAAGTTTCTTTTGTTCCCGAAACTGACACAGTGGGCAGCTGGCGTCTTTTCAATAGGGGCCAGATTAGCGTGCAGCGGTATTGTATCGCTCATCACTGGAGCACTGGAGTGCTTTTGTCCCCAGTGGTAATCAGCTTGCCCTGAATGCCTTAAACAGAGGTATAATCTTTCAAAACAATGACGGATTTCCTCCTTTATTGACAACTGGAAATATGTTAGCAATTCCTAGCAGCTTGGCCTTTTGTTCCGAGTACGGTCTTTTGTTATAAAGCCTAGCGCTTTTGTCGGGTTTCGGGCTCCCCGGTTTCGTGTATAAAGCCTATGTGCCTAAAACTGGGCTCCCCAGAAGGAAGTGGTTAAAGGAATATGTAAATCTATAGGAGCCCTCATCATTTTCTACTCATATAATATCCATTTTCCTCAGCATACCAAACTGAGTGATGTTTCATATGAAAGAGCTCAATTCGCTCTTTCAAAACCAAGCTAAACAGAATGACTGAAAAATGCCCTTAAGACTCATTTTGCAGGATCCAGTCAAATTTGCCGGAAAGCTGTGTGGAGGTTAGTGACCCATAGGGCAGCACCTTTTGAACATCTGCAAACATCTAACTTTTTTCTAACATTTGAACATTTTGCTCCATCGTTAAGTCTGCTTTCTCATCCTCTCCCCCCCCCAGGTCGTGCTGGGGTCAGTGCCCTCTGGGGTACCCTGAGGGACCAATCCACTGTCAAGCTGCAGAAAGCGGACTCCAAGATCCCGCAGGAGCTGAAGGCTGCCTATGGGGCCTTCGTCAGGGAGTGTCTGACCAATAACAAGACGGTGGCCAAGCGCAGCTTTTACAGCGAAGAAGGGGTGAGATTTGTCAATTTAAAGGCATATAATTGAGTCTCCTGTTGGTAAATTTGTAAAGTAAGCAAAGCTTTTTGCTAAAAGCTCATTTTGGCCGCCCCTTCTGTAGTGTTATGCTAAATACAGGGGGTTTTTTTCACACCATTTTTTCAGGTTTATAGTTTGTACATGTAAATATTCACCCTCTGGTGACAGTGGCAAGTGATCACTGGAGTCCTGTTTAATCCATGCTGTCTGGAAAAAAATTTCTCCGAAGCCTTCTGCTGCCAAATTATTTATGAAAACTCCATTTTCGACCAGGAACAACTCTTTGTAGACTTTGGTTTTGTACCCTAAATGTTGTTCTGATTACGACATTCATTTCTACTGAAATTGTCAGAAAGGCACGATAATACCGCAGCTGAATTTATCGAGGACAATTAGTTCCATGCATTTCATTGTGCAAACCCTCCACCGTTTGTCTATTTACATGTAAGCCCTCAAACAATTACTTTGGCTCATTTTAAAGTTTTCACCCCACAGTTGATGAGAAAGATACTGGTAGGTATGGTTTCATGTGACTGATATCTTTTATTTCATGTATGTTGTCTTCTGCCAACAGAGGGCGCTGTGTAGTTTTGCTGACAATGAACGGTACATTCTGGCAATAGGTAGCTCTCTGAAAGACACTTACAAAATATGAAACGGAAAACACAAATTTAATAAAGCACATTGTTGTACTTCACAATTTGAAAACTCAAATTTAAAGTTTAGCACAGTGATTGGGTCAAGATGTTAACAACTTGTCTCCTAAAGTTTTGTTTTGTTTCCAGTGCAGAGTGAATGAATTTTAAATTTTCAATGTTTCGTTGCTCTGTATATGAAACTATTTCAAAGGCTAAATTCGTTCCATGTATTATACTGATGACTTCTTTTATTGAAAGCAGCAGGGTATCAGAATTTACCATAATACTTAAAGTGTTTGTCCACATAGCCTTTGATTTACGAGCCTACTTGGGCATACTGCAAAGCTAGAACGTCAGTTCTCAAATACCACTCTTTACTCAATGATATCTCCAGGTTTTTATCATTTTATACTCCATGATGAATGAAATGAATTGAATTGTGTTGTCCATTTCTCAGGGTTTCCGAGAATTGTCGAAACTCTTCTCATCACTGTAACTGTCTCTTTTTCTCTCCTCCTGTCCCATCAGGTTCCCGATGGTGAGCGGCTTCAAGATGGCAGCTATCACCAGCGGGTCAAGGATGTCCAGAAGAAAGTGGAGCTGATGTATCGTGCAGCGATGACCAACGAAGACAAGGCTACAGTGCTGCTCTTTAACAACCCCATACCGGACTTCAACAACTTGAAGGGGACAGAGGGGCCGTTGCGATACCACCCGTCCTGGATTGACGAGGTTCGTTGAAATGGGAGATGTTATCTGTATGCTGAGTGTACCAGGCCACTGTACACAAAAGGATCTCATTCCTGTATGAAGTGAATTAATCAAGTATTCCCGACATCATCATTGGTACCATCAGCTGACTTGAGGCAGTCAATCAAAGACGACGACTCCTTATCTATCCTGAGTTTCCCACCGGATCTCCTGTGTGTTAGGAGTGATTGCCTTATGGATGAGGCGGGCTGTATGAAATGTTGATGCTATGCCTGCAGAACAGAGAGCACTGTGTTATCTTCGTGCAGAGCTCACACACCATGGCCGTACACTTCTACACATAATTTTGTAGAGGAGTTTTCTTCTGAGTGTGCACAAATGTCATCACATAAGTGCATGGTTGTGAGGTCATTTCTAGGTCTTGTTATGTCTGTACTTTTGACAAACATTACCCCTCAAAGAGCCGGGGGATGGCAGAATCTGCCCCCCCCCGTTGATTTTTGCTTATAGAATCTCCGGGATTAATTTCTGCCTGCTGATACTTTATGACAATTTTTTCCAATGTATTGGCCTCATTTTGACCCCAATTTATGAAAATTGGACGTGGCGTTTCTCTCGGTGAAGAATTTTAGGAGGCAGGGTGAAGTATGATGTGAAATTTACTATTGACTTTGTACACAGAAGTACATTGTACAAAGGGCAGTGGTTTCCTTTTGTCAGGAAGTCTCTTGCTTTGGGGAAGGTCTATTAATTGTATAATTAACTTATACCAATTATTGTATACAGCTCATAGCATCTCTAGTTTCATTTCCAATGAATATACAATCCATACAGCATCTTTGATGTGAAAAATACAATAAAATCACCTGACAATCGAAAGAAGATGGTAAAAATTTGTATCATGAATAATTAATGAGTCAAAATTATGCAAAAACTTACTTAATTTACATATAATTTCACACAAATGATTAGTATGTATGCCTCTATGACACTGCCAAATTTCATTAAAATACATCATCGTATGGCCGAGATCTGAGGGGGCAGATTCTGCCTCCCCCCCCGGCTGTGACAAGGCCAAAAAAAGGGCTCTTTGAGGGTTAAGAAGTTTCGTACTTGGTCCATTTTACAAGCATGTCTACTATCATCTTCAGAAACCTCACTTCAGTGAGGACTTTCTTTCTCAGTCTGTTGAAATGATCGATCATTTTCTGTACGTTTAACATCCAGGGTAGTGACGAAGAGGAGCCAAGTTACAAGAAGTGGCTGAGGGAGATGCCCTCCCCACATCTCCAACTCCCCCCGCTGGAGGACCTACCGCCCACCCCGGCCAAACAGCAGCGGCCCAGCAGAAACCCCCAAGACCAGCAAGATACGGACTGCTACGACGCCAATGACAACGATGATGACTCGATGAGCTGGGATTCGCTTCCTGACCTCCCCGACGAGGAGCAGCCCCCGGCCGCTAAGGACAAGAAGCCCCAGAAGCTCTCGTTCCTAACGGAGGCAGCTGCCACCGTGCCTGGTCAGTTCCGCAAACGCTGGGAGGACAAGAGGGATGCCACCGGTCGGTTCATCCCTGGGAAGGAAGTGATGGCCAGGGCCTCCTTAGAAGACAACGGAGGTGGTGATGGGACAAAGACAAAGCTAGGTAAGGTGATTTGGGGGCTTCTTCATCATGAACTAGGTATTCTTAAGTCATTACCTCGGGATTCAGGGCCAATATAAGGACCCTGATCCCCCTGCCCAAAAAAATTCAGTTCAGGTTTTACATTCCTGCTCATCTTAAAGTTATTTTTTTTCCAGGAAAGGAGAGAAGTTTTAGACATTTGTAACAGCTTTTTTCCTCTAGATAATATTGTCGAAATATTCCCAAAGGTAAATGCGTCTCCCGAATTTAAAACTTGGAGGCCAGATTTTAAAGCGTGGTGATAAGTTTTTAAACATGCTGTGAGACCAGCAGAACTTGGTGGGTTACCAGGCTACTTCCGTAGGTTATGGTTTGCCAGTCTTTTCAGTGAACATTCATTTTGTCAGTATAGCTCTTTTAATTTTCGGTCATCTGCTACCATATTTGTTTTGGACATGCCGTATTTTTTACATCCTTCAACGTATTGGAAAATTTGCATATACCTTTCTCTGATCTACATAACTATTTATAGGTATGATGTCAGCTGTTGTTAATACAGTGTTTCACTCCTTGTTTGGTTCAACAGCACCAGGTCTGAGCATGGTCCGTTCCAGCACAGCGCCTCCCCTGTCCTCCTCCCTTGCATCTCAATCCAGCAGTGGGCAACGCAAGATCCAGACGGCCCGCAAGGAATGGCAGCCCCTCAGCTTGACGGCCTTGGAGGACTACAAGCCAGCCGTCCACCTACTGGGCCAGGGCGACTTTGCCCAGGGCCAGGAGTTCATGTGGAAGCCCATCGTGGCCAGTGCTGCCGGCAAACCGTGATGCTTTGCTGGCGACATTGGCCTCGGCGGCCACTGGAGGTTGAAAACACTGAACCCTGGGTGACTCGTGGTTTCTGTTGCACTTTTTACTGCAAAAAAAAAAAGGATTGATGGTCCTGCTCCAGTTGGCCAGTGGTGTACAATTGTTACCCCCGTTCACTGGGCCATGAGCCTAGTTTTCTGCAGCAACAATCTGTGCTCTCCCCTTATAGGTATTACTGTTTATATTCATTGGTTGTAAGAGGCACTCCCCCTTTAAGTGCCTTAACCAAACAACACACTTCCTATGGTACGTATGGGGGTTGAGCCCACACACCATTGTATGAGAGTTAATCATCAGGAACACTTGACAGTGGTGCTCATCAGGCTAAGGATTTGTGACTATTTGTATTAGTATTTCCCACTGCCATATATGAATCTCCAGTTTTTTGAGTGCACAGCCAATGGGAATCTTTTGATTGTTCATCAATGTGAGTCAGAAGTTTGCCCAAAATGTGTCATTAAACGAGGACGGCATGTCCAAATTGTATTCAGCGGTGTCCAAACAACTTCCTACAGGCTTTGGCCAGAAAGAAAGATGGAGCAACATGTAACAGGGATTCCCCAAGCCCGGGGGGGATTACCATTAAGGCCATGAAAGTGCTTTGAAATTAAAGCATAAACGTGTATATGTGTAGCATTCCATTCTGTCCTGAACAATTCTGAAAACAAAAATCTGTGACTGTTGTAGTCACATAAGTGCATTCAAATTAAAGTAAGGAATGTTTATAGACGCCGAGTTTCCATTGCGTCCTTAAGCTAAGCTGTCCTAACAAGGAAAGACTGCTGAAGTTTGGAGAGTGCCTTTTAAAAAGTATCTGGCATTAATGCCGTGATTCGTGGGTTGTATCTGAATGAATATTTTTGTCAGTAACTGGCTAGTTAAAGCAGCATTCCACTGGCAAAACAGCAACAGCCACTGCCAACATTGCCAAATTTAGACACTGCTGCCGTTTTTGGAAAAGGTTCATTGTCTGGCTTCAGAGAAGGTGCGTGAAGGCTCGCATAGCCGAAAATTTGAAACGATTGTGTGACACAGTCTGAACTCTAGCCAAGGTTTGAAAGAATTGCTCAAGTGTTTTGGGGTTAGGGATGAGTTTGTGTGCCTAAAAATACATTGTTCTGAAGCACAGTTCATGTCATATCTTGTGTTTGCGGATTTTTCAGTAACACCGTTTTTGAAAGTTATAGGTATCTTTCAATTCATTTGAAGTGAACAAAAATTATTTTCTGCAGTTTTTATGATTGATTCCATCCAAACAAGTACAATTTTATTTACCATTTGTAAATAGCCTTATTTAAAAACTGAGTTTGACAAAATATTTGCTCGTAATTTAAAGTAAAAATTACGAAATGATTTTGTTTAAATTTAAATGTGTTTGCATTTTGCATCCGTCCATTGCATCTTGTTAAATGAATTGTAATATCCTTTTTTATTTTAAAGATTATGTAAAAATAAGTCTGTGGGTGCTACTCATTGTCAAATTCTATTTTCTCAGTGTAAACTATCTCTTTTTTGCTGAAAAAAATAAACAGTGTTTTTTATTAAAAGTGTTCTTTACTTTGTGTATGTTTTCTTAGTACTTGATTATAAACATTCCATTTCCATATTTACCTCAATCAGTTTTTCCATCGTATTTGCATTATTTACTGCAATCACTATTTTAGATGTAACTACAATAATGAATACAAGACTCATAAGCCATAAACTGAACATTACAGCACAAATAAGAACTCCTTAAAGCCTCTGTTTGGAAACTATCCCCTGTAAAAAGGCGGAATCATTGGACACCAACCCATTGTAGGCATTTGTTGGACAAATTATTTGGGGGAAATTAACTTACATGTAATTCAATTTCACAATATTTTGGTCTCGTATAAATGAACTCAAGTTGGAAGTTGGCCATGGCAATTTTAATTTCAACATGCAAAGAGCTTTAAAGGTTTACGGTTTGTTTTTTGTTGACAAATATTATTGCGTTTTAATCCCTGCATCTAAGGGGGAAATGGAACTCTGATTTGATCATCTGTCATCAAGACCTTCCCTTTTTAAAAATGAAACAAATCCTCTGTCGGCTTCAACTGCCCAGCATCCAGAGACGATTGCTCACCACAACCTGACTATTCCTTCAAGAGGCGTTTGAGCAGATTCTCTAGTTTCTTTTTACGCAGCTTCTGCCCGCCCTCTACGGCTCCTTCCTGTTCGCCTGCAAGCTGCCTCTTGCCAGCCGGCTTCATTTCTGCAGAGGGAAAGAGTCACTTTGGATCGTTGGGTTCGGCAATAAAACAGACTTCAGTTTCATAAAAGCCAACAAAAATGATGAAAACTACAGAATGCATCTGGCTTGTTTACTTGCAAAAAGAAATTTTTTGCCTCCTTTCCTTAAAACAATGTCCTGCAAAAGTCCTTGATGTGACTAGTTAAGCGTGTAAATGCCGAAAGTGGCGCTGAGGAGGCAAAGCATTAAATTATCGTGGGAAGAAGAAGGGCTTCTGACGCAGCTGTAGCCCATCTTCACACGAAACACATTGGACCAGAGATCGCCACATTAGACTGTGGCAATTCCCTTCTGCATGGTTAATCAGAGTCTTTGCCAATTTGCAGATCCAGTATAGAAAGCTGAAAGTGTCACAAAAATGATAGCAAATACTTGTATTCAACATTCCCTGCGGTTTGAGAAGTTGGCGAGATAGTGTTCTCTCTGTAAACTTGTTAAACCGTAACCCAAAATTCCTAACAGATCCATAGTTGTCATTTATCACATACAAAATGTCATAAGAGAAGATTTTAAACTTAATACAAAAAAACCGTAGAGTGCAAAAAAAAAACAACGTGAGTGGCAGTAGGTATTATTTGGGGCATGGAAATATTCGCCCAAATACACCGAACTCTTGCCTTTGACGCAGTCGCGTCCGCCCCAACCATCGTCACACCGACACGCCCAGCCGTTGTTGCCCTGAGAGCAGTAGCCGTGGTTGTTGCAATTGTTAGAGACGATCATGAGACGGAGGCAGGAGCTGGAACGCGTGCTGAGTTTGTCTGTCTCGGACCCTGAACGCAGATGAAGTGGGTGATAGTTTGAATCAGTCATTGAACAACAGGGAATTTGTTATTCATAGAATCAGCATAATGCTTACTTGTTCCCACCTTTGTTTTTACAACAGTCCTAAGCCTATCGACAAAACAGCTGTTTTAACCGATAAATTTTAAATTTAACCGATAAATTTTATTCCTGATGACGACTTTCTAAAACTAAAATGGCCTCGGAAGACAGAAGAACCCAATGTATACACTTTTTTCAACATTGTTCTCATCTTGTACTTTGTACGCAAAATTGGATTTTCCCCCCTCGCAAATAGTAACTTAGGTGGGGAATTTTTTGTCAGCAATACCAATATAAGGGATAAGTTCCCTTAATTACGGGGCAAATAAAGTCAGCAAATCAGTTTTTGATCTGCAGTCCCGTTTTTCGTGTCCAGTGATTTTTTTGTCTATTGACGCCAGAGGAATATGATTGCAGTACACCCACAAATTATTTCCTTCTCCCTTTTAAACCGTCATCAGAAAATGTTTCTTTAACTCATGTATAATAAGGCATTCGTGAAGCGCTTTCGTATAGTGACAGTGTTTGAACTCTCATATCGGTGTTAATGTTAAAGGCTTCATTTATAACGAGAAATTATCCAAATTTTCGTTTTCTCACATGTCCTGGTTTTGTGTTATTTCTATTTTATTTTTCTGTCAAAAGAAATGTATTTAATGTTTTTTGGCCAAAAATAACTTCATTATTTTACTACATCAGTGACTCTGTATAGAAAATACTAATTACAACATATCAGAATGAGAAGTTCAAGTAAAATGTTATGTCATGCATGATGCATGTTTTACCTTGAGTTAGGGCGATGCATAGCGCCAATGCTATGGTGGAGATCGCAAGGGTTTTCATCGTCAGCTGTTCGTTTATCTGTCAAAATATAAAATGATTTGATGAGGACACTACGAAAGTGGTTTTGGTTTGTCAAAAATTAAGCTGTGAAACTGAGCAGTAATTCTGCAATAACAGGGATCAAGAGACATCGCATTTAATTTGTTAATTTTTTTTACTTATGCTAGACCACGCCCACGACAGCAAACCGAACTTCCCTTCAATCTGTTACCTGGCTTGAGAAAATTACTAAAATGAGCACATGGGCAAAATGCAATCAAGAAAGTTTCCCAGAATTATTTCTTCCCGAAAAAAAAAATGCAGTACATGCGATCACTTGAAACGGATATTAAAATTATTAAAAAAAAACTTTCTCTACAATATCAGGTCGAAAATGTAGTGTCTTGAGTTTGCTATTCTTACCTTGCCTGGCAAAATGCGGCTGCTTACTCCTCACAACCACTCTGCGGCTTCTGGCGTCTGACGACAAAGTTTGTGGAGCTCTTGGGCTGTATTCCCCCCGGCATAAGTTACTAACAGCAACGAGGGCCTTCCCATGGTGCTTGATGCACTCATGACAAATATTAGTACACGGCAAGGGGCAAAAAATGTTGTCACCGATGTGATTCTTAACAAAGGCATCCGTTTCTTGGGTGACACTCCAATATTGACTGAAAAGGAAGATTCGAGCCGCTGCTGTGAAAGTGTCGGGCGGGAAGTCATTTAAAGATGCACATCAGGGAAGCCGAAAAGTCCCCGAAGGACGTCCTGAACAAACAGACTGGGCTGGAAGAAATCTCAGGGCAAATTTGCCCATCCCAAATATTCAAAGGTCTGAAAGACAACGGTACACGGCCCCTCCCTCGCTCCTGAGGCCTCTGCTCCTGGTACCCCCCCCCCCAGGATTTGGTGTGGACAAAACAGTGCTGTAAACTTTGAAATTATGTCCGCAGTTGACTTCCTATTCAGACGATAAGACCGGCACAGCACGGTGAAACATGCATGGAACCTTAAGTTTAATCCCCCAGAAGAGGAATCTTGACCTCCTCGTCAAGATCCCTGGAGGATGTGTCAGGAGGAAACTAACCAAGTATCAAGTAAGTAGAGGAGGGTGCTATCTGGTGTAAACTATACACAGAACCTGGCCAAAGAATGGAATGTTTTAGTTTCTGCTTTAAATTCTGGCTGTTTAATCTTCTTTAAAAGGACACCAAAGCTAACTTGTTTTTCAAAAGAATAACCTGTCTAAACATTGGAGCAGAACCAGAGATATTCAAACAGCAAAAACTGCAACGGGATATCTAATTTTTGAGTCAGGGGTAGGGGACAAAGTGGGAATTTTTGTCTAAAACGGACGTCGCCTTTTTTCGTCCATAAATAAATTTCCAGATACGTATAGTTGATATCGGCGTTTGGAAAGTTTGGCAGATTCGATTGAAAAAGTAGCCAGGTACGTCATTAGATGGAAGACGAACATTCTTGCGAAATGACCATGCTCCGGACATCTCTATGAAATTATGAGTTTGCTATACATGATTAACAGTCACCTTTAATTAAATGCTCAAATAAAGTCAGTATGGAGGGCCAGAATGGAAATAGTGGGTTCCTTTGTCTTGGAATTATGTGGGCGAAACAATTTTTTTATATCGAAAATTACGGAGTGAACACCATACTATCTTCTACCCCTCTGTAACGTCCATTATCCCGGGGAAGGTCCTCAGACACTCAGATTAAAATGATTTGTCTTCATTGCATTAAAGGCACATCAGTGTGGTCTAGATGTTTGGGAGTCGGGATAAGGCAGTCCGTAAAGCTCGGTTCTGGACTGTAAAAGGCAGTGCTACCCCTCCTTCCTCCATGATATGACAGAACACTTTTTGTTGAAATATCTACCAGTGATGATTTACTGCAAGGTGACAGAAAACGGAAGAGACTTTATGTGTGTGCTTTGATACTGAACTGGATATAATGATCAATTTCATTCAGATAAGTTGCAGTGGCGCAGCCAGGCTCCCCTCCAAGAGGGAGCACTTGAAGAATTCCCATCTTGTTGCGCCGCATCTTGATGTACCTAGGCCTATAGACATCGCCAATATGTAATTCAGTTGATATTTTTCACAGGTTTTTTCGATTTTCACGATGACTGTCCGTCGTGGTCCAAACCAATTTCCCCCTTATAATGATGAACGCGCAACTAATACAAAGAGAACTACTGACGTGGTTTACAGTCCAGTTATGGAAAAACGTCAGAAAATTCGGTAAGTTTTGGCAACAGTGAGTATAAAGCCTATTTCCCCCTTTTCTCAAAGTTTTATAACCGCTACACGTAGCAACTGCCCTGCAACAAACGCCGCCCATGGAGGGCGCTAGCCATGTAGTCGGTCATTATCTGTGCACAAATCTACTACAGTAGCCTATGGTGGGGCCGGCCCACGTACGTTGTGTCCCGAGTGAAAGTTCCCGATAACAGAAACAAAACCAGTCGGAAAAAACTGGTGGTACCAATGGACTGTGCAGGTTGAAGGTGTTTTGGTACTGGTAGGATTTTCATCAACAGACCTTTCCATAGCCGGTAGATTACTCAGGCCCTCGATGTCATGTAGGGGCCCGGGCCTTAAATGGCCATTATTAATAAGGCCTAAATTTAGGCCCTATCCAATCATATGTGATGTGATATGATGTGTAAACCGTGAGGCCTTGCTCGTTAAGTTATTCATAATACTGTCATAACCATTGTGAGTACATGTAGGCTAGTTATATGTAGGTGGGTGTGTGCCATGGGATGGATTGGAATACCCCTACCAAAATCAGACTGGAACAGCAAAATCTTGGAAAATAACCATCTGGTTGTGTTCAGAAAAATGCCCAGGCACAACTTTCAGTTTGAAGACATTCCTCAGGAAAGTGTCGTGCAGTAGGGCCTGGGCCTTCCAGTTTTCTGTGTTACCGGTAGATGTTCTTGTCTGTATAGACTGGTGACTCAAAAGTGTTGTGGCCAATTTTTCACAGGTTTTACAGAAATAAATCTGGAAATGACAGATTGTTCCAAGCATTTCTATAATTCTGAACACAAATGGATAATTAGTTTCAAAGACGGTGTTCCTGACTAGTTCGGGGGGGGGTATTATTATAAGTCAGACAGCGATACTTGCACCTGTCAAATGTACGGGAAAGAATTCCACATGCGGATGCCATTTTGACACCCTGTGCGCATGGTGCTCAAATCCTACAGAAAAATTCAAAAGGTTTTCTACATATAAGTGAATACCTCAATATTTTCACTGCAAAATTTGACTTTTTAGGAGAGTTTATTGCATTGAGATCACTGCAGGGAAAATTAGTGACATCTGTACGTGGAATCCTTTACATCCTAACTTTGTGCAACACCAACTTGGGACAGATACATCTTTGCCAACAATGACTTGCAGTTGGGCATGCCCAACTTTGGTAATCCAAAATCTGTCACTCAAAAAGTTAAACTTGGACTGGGCCTGATGTTTTATCCTTGCAGAATCTTCTTAACGGTGACAATTTTTCTGTCAGGGTCTTTAACTTTTTCAATAAGACTAAGGTCATTGACTCTATAGCCACAAAAAACATCTTACGGCCCTTTTTGTTTTACACATTTTGGAATATAAAAAATTAAATATTGGGTCAGGCTGTTACCCAGGTTCTAAATGCTTTTTACATGCTATTAAGCTTGTGTCACGGTTGGAGGAACTAAATTGTTTTTTCTTAGAATTAGTTTGTCGACAAAAGTCGGGCCAGTCCCGCAAATTGGCACTGGACAAAGTTGGAACAGTGGATATAGTTTGGACTGAATAATAGCCACTTAGCTAAAAAAAGTATACTTGTACACGTTCATGCAGCTCTATGATATACCCTCTGTGGGGATGGGAAGAGTAGGAGGGGCGGAAAAAGTGGGCTGGAGTCTCGAATATTCAGAGTTGGATTAGGTTAGAATAGATCTGTGTAGCACACTTTAGTGAGAGTCACAGTGTCGGCAGTTACACCACAGACCTACCGTTCATTTTGAACATTCAACTGTACACTCCTAAGGAAAGGGTCAAAGAAAGTGGGAGGGTGGATGGGACAGGGGACCAGGGAACTGTACCGGTAGTTAGCTGTTTAGGGCCAACGGGGCTTTATATTGGGGCTGGAGATTGCTTATCTTTCCACAAAACCAGCAACGCTTTCATGGGACGTTCGGGATGGCCCGTTTCAGTGGCAGAAAGCGTTGCATTGGGATTGGTATACATGTACTGAACATGTACTGTACACGTAGAGCAACTGTGCTTGTAACCGCCATTAGCAGGGGCCACTGTGAAAGAGCAGTGGTAATGTGGAGCAAACACAAAAGATTTTACCCAAACCAAATAGTGCCCTCCTATTGCGTCCGCCATACCTCTAAAAGGAGTGATGATAACCACATCCAATTATATGGGTACTTCCTGAACTGTATAGTTTTAGGAATATTATCGGTATTATAGACCTGGGTTGGTTGGTTAAGTTTGTGGCCTTTTTTTTTTTTTGGGGGGGCCATCAGAAGTATTTCACTCAGTATTGGAGTTTGAAAGATGTTGAATGGCATGAGTTGAACAGCAAGATTGCCTGTTTGTGCAGCACTCTCAGTCAAAGTGGTGTTAAATCCGAGAATTAACTTCCCCCTTTTCAAATTGGCCTTCTCCAGTCAGGAATTAGAAGGAAAACTTGATGAATTGATTGCAGCAATATCAATAGATTGCACCCCCAAAATTGAATGATCATGCAGTATTTGTGTCTTGGGTCTACCTTTCTCAATCCTGCAAAGTGACCACAAAACCAAGAAGATTTGAAAGGGTTGAGGTGGAACACCATTTATAGCCTATTTAGTAAGATGTTCATAAACCTCCATAGGCAAACGTTCTAGTACATACATTTACTGAATCTACTAATACATGTACATTTTGTCATGCACAACATTAGAATTCACTGACAATGGCTGAACCGTATAAATATATTTATTCTGCATTTTAATGTGATTCTTTAATGAAAAGCTTCTTCCTGAAGCAGCGTTAAATTTGTGTAGATATTTTGCAAATCTACCCCTTGCGTGATGAATAATTTCAAAGAAATACATAAAGCTCTGGTTGACATGGTCGCTCATGCATACTAAGCAGGATAAACCGTTGCCTGGCCATCGAGGCAGTTTTACACTAAATGCAGATTACGTGATAGCGAAGCAGATGTTGGAGTAATGGTTCTGACGACAATTGTATGACTTTCTGCCTTAATTATAGATAACCAGACATACACATTGTATTGACACATAGATCTCTGTGTCATCCATGTCATGACTGCTTCGGTGCACTCATCGGTCATATTTGTTTTAAAATCTCTATACTCTGTTGATATACATGTATTTTTGGTTGAGGAATTTACTAGTTAAATAATAATCACAGCATATCCTTGACAATTCCCTGGGAAAGATTTCACCGTCAAATCAGACAGAGATGTCATTGACATGGAAAGCGTTTTTTAAATAATTCATTATTATTATTATTTTATTAATACAGCCACTGTTAATTTTTATGAGGCCTGATGCCCGATGGAAATGAAAGGAATTTGTCATTGGTTCACTGCATAATACTGGATATTTTAGGATTTGGGATGGTTTCTTGCATAAATGATCCAGGGATTTATGGCCAGAATCCTTGGTATCAAGGCTGATTTGCAGTTGGTGAGGGCCAGATGCTGATGGGTGCTGGACACTAAATCCTGTTGGGGCAGTTCATAGTCGTTTTATGGCATATGAAAATTACTTCTTGCAAAATACATGCATTGAAGGCATAAAATTCAATTTTTAGTTATGACAATCAATCGTGTATGCAGAGGCGAAATCCTGAAAAGCTAGGTCAGCAACCATGTCAAAATTAAATTATTTGAACTCTCTTTTGATGTCACCACTGTCGTTTGGTAACCGTTCGTTGAAACTTTGGCTTCCTTTGTGTAAACCGTGTGTGGGATGATTACATGTCAATTTTTTAGTCGTACAAACCAGCCTTTACTTTTTACTTGGCATTTCTTCTACACAGGAGACTAAAACGCATCCACACGTAGTTGAAAGAACGGAGAGGAGACACGAAACGCAGAATGACGGATGAGGGAGTGCTTCACCAATGTTTGAGATGATGAACATGCCAGCAGACACTGATCCAGGCACCGACGACAACATGGCTGACCGAAACAACCACCCCGCTGCCAATGAGGATTCCCCCACGAAAGCGCTGGTCTGCCGCCATCCCACGCCACCTCCTGTCACCCTCTTCACCAAAGTCTTGGTGGTCTTTGCGGCCATCGGGGGGTTCCTCTTTGGGTACGACACGGGCGTGGTGTCGGGTGCCATGATCCTGCTGAGGCAAGAGTTCAATCTCAGCACAGTTTGGCAAGAACTTGTGGTGGGTATTGTCTCAGTTTCTGACGGCAGTTTGATTGGGATATATTGACCACATTCGAATGTCATGACTAGAGCTACCATACCGTCCAAGTTTTCATCAGTTGCAAATATGAGCCCACATGTCAAACGGGCGTGATGGCCGTGTGTGTATTGTGTATCACATTTGGTATTTGTTGCTTTGATTTAAGTCAAACAACGAGATATATTTATGGCACTTTCAGTAAGAAATATATGTAAAAAACATATTGTAATCTTCAATTGAACAATTGGTACATGTAAATGTGCTCTACACTTCTTATTTTACGAGTGGGGCTTTGGATAAATTGACCATGGATATTCATGTTTGTGAGCATTATGTGTATGAATTTGTATCCAATGTTGATTTGAAATGAAATTGCTCTGCTTGTCACAGAATCACTGAAATTGATTGATGAAAGACAGCAAACGGAATAAGTTATATCACTCTACAGTACTCTGACAAAGTTCTTACCTTTGCCAGATGAAACGTGAACTTAATATTGATTTTAAAGAGGCAGTTTGAGTTTAATATTTATCTTCATACTTCAGTTAATGTTTACATTGTAGAATTCATAGTTATTACTATTCTTGGGGTCCTTTCTTTCAAGGGAGGGGCAGATAGTAAGTCATATCCAAACATTGTGCTACTTCAGTCTCTATGATGAAGTGTGTTTTTCCTGTAACTCAGCACTAGTTTCTTTACGCATTCACTGCTTATAAGTCAAAGATTTTTACATTGCGTTGACTGCAAAATATGATATCCTAAATACTCTGACTACATTTACATTTATTGCATGTTTCAAGATTAAGACAAAAATAATTTGTCTTAATATCCGTCGTTAGGTAAGTGTTACCATTGCCGCAGCAGCTGTGGCCTCCTTCCTCGGTGGCAAACTAAATGATGTCTTCGGCAGGAAACCAGTGATTCTCCTTGGTAGCACAGTCTTCACAGCGGGTGCCGTTATCATGAGCATTTCCCAAAGCAAAGAAGTCCTTCTTATTGGCCGGATTGTCGTCGGTCTGGGAGTCGGTAAGACTCAGTCATATCAAAGTTCATGGGGGTCTTTTTGATTCCCCGTCTCATTGATTTCTGATGGTTAGTGACTGCAGCCACTTTCCTTAGATGTGTGTCATTGTGAGTTACAGCCAGTGAATTTTTTGCTGAGTCTAACGTTTGACCAACACCGAGCTGGCTACATGCGTTCTTTTAGTAAAGAAAAATATCGTCAAATGGGGAAATTAAAAAACTGCAAAACCAAAATCTGGAGCTCCAAAAAATACATGACATAATTTTACAAATTTTCTTAAAATTCAACATTTGGATCCTAACCATGTACATAGAATAACTTGATATGTTACATACCCTCAGGTCCAAAATTCAGGACATCTAAAAGAGGCAATTCACAGTTTGCTTAAGAGACATTTGGTCAAGAAGGTTTTGTTTTGTTGATTGTCGACAGGTCTGGCCTCAATGACTGTACCCATGTACATTGCTGAAGCTGCCCCAACTCATTTGAGGGGTCGTCTTGTCACTATCAACAATCTCTTCATAACCTTCGGCCAGTTTGTGGCATCTGTCATTGACGGGTTTCTGTCGTATCATTCCTGGGGCTGGAGGTCAGTGACGTCATTTTTTTTCTCAAGCCTTGGAAAGTCGTAAGACCATCCTGAGACCAACACAAGACCTCCGGTCTGAACTTAGGGATGAGGTTGCTCATCGCTCTTCAACAGATGCATTCCTTTGTCATTGCTCGCCCTGTTGCTCGTGTCTGGTCTAAATAGCTCTAAAGTGTTCTACATTTGTGACCTGATCTAACAAAGAGAGGCACAAGTTGCCAGAGCCGCTTTGGAGTTCACACACTTTGAAAATAATTATGCGCAATGGAAATTAATTGGAACCCTCAACATTTGATGCCCATTTGCATCGGGATGCTAAACTGAGAAATATATGAAAGCAATGAGTTCAGTTTGATTTGTCTAATTCTAACCAAAACGAAATGGCTGACAAAAATGATCTCAAGACTCATGTTGTGCGATTGCAGTCACTATTACAGAAAACCTAAAACAGTTTTTTTCTTAACTTCTGAATCTGTCATAATGGATGGAACCCATGTGATCTCAGTGAACGACCCGGCCTTATTACTTCGCGTATAAATGTGACTTCCAATTGACTTGATTATTGCTATGGTTACTGGATTTGTCCCTAAAAGCAAATCTGTCCTGATCCCGTGTAGTCCAGGGGATCAGTGTTTATCTCCAGTTTCCTCAGCGTGAAACAACTTGGCATGTTTGTGTTCCCCCCTCCCCGGTCCCTCTCCCATGGGATGTCAACACACTGTGCATTGCTTACCAGCTAATGCTGGTACCCAGTCATACTCCAATGTAGATAAAGGCAAGCACGGTTGAAGTGACTTGCCAAGGGTCACAACTTATTGCGTCCAGCTGGATTTGAACCCGGGACTCTCTGGTCACACTGGTCACGGGTTGTGAACCTTAACCCCAAGGCTACATTCCCTTCCATTGTCCAAGTCGGTGACCATCACCGTGGTTTTTTTCAATCCTTATTCCCAGGTTGATGCTAGGTTTAGGAGGAGTGCCCTCAGCCATTCAGTTGGTGGGTTTCATCTTCCTACCGGAGAGCCCTCGTTGGTCAATCCTCCACGACAAGCCACAGGAGGCCAAGACGGTCCTGGCGTGGATCCACGGGAAGGACAGCCCAGAGGTGGGAAGAGAGCTGGAGAGCATTAGCAGGAGCGTCCTGGAGCAACAGGAGGAGCAACGGGCGATGAAAGGTGAGTGGGCGGGAGATGAATCTAGACACACTGTTGCTGGGGTACCGTTAGGAAGCCCCACCCCCCCATTTTCTCCCCTAACCCTAACGAACCCCAACCAGCCAAACTCCAACAAACACCAGGGTTTGTTGGAAGCTGGTAGGATGAGTACAGCACTGGTAAAGTGGTTGTGTTTCATGTGGGATTGGGCACACCATGAGTAACAGAGTACAACTGTTTATATTTACCGTAATGGTGTAGAGATTTGTAATAATCACCCCAGGGAGTTAGGGCTATTCTGCCCCCCAGTAATGGCGGAGACATTGGGCCAGCTATATTATACAACATAACTGGCTCTGGACAGTTTTTCCAAATAAGCTGGTAAGGTGGTGGGAAGGGGGCTCCTTTGGTATGCAACAACTATGCACCCACATCAGTGTTTCTGTGAAGGAAATCCTTTGGATTAACTCAAAGCCATTACTGCCGTGCAGACACCACCAGGGGTGTCATGACTTGCCAACTGCACGCCAGCCTCAAGTTTAGGAGATTTGAGACATTTGCCTACATGTGGTGCCCATCTTCTACGGAGATAAATTTAAAGGGGAGACGGTTATTTGAGGTGTTAAAATGCTTTGACAAGTTTAATAATTGTAGTAATCACCGAGGAAGATTGTTCACCGAAATAGGCCAAATCATCGATGAAGAGATTGTTTTCCTTTCTTATCCTTTGACTGAAATTTTTAAGATCACAATAATTTCATCTTTGAAGTGTAAATTGCAACGGATGTTTTTTAGTAGTGTTCTTATATGCGTGTTGGTCGTTAGTCATGTTATATGTTTTATTTTTTGTGAGTGTAAACTGTAATGGTAAATGTTGAATATTTTTTGTAATTATTTAATAACGATTTTTTTTTAATTCTTATTTTAATTGCTTAATCTTTTTTTATTATTTGATTGTTAAATCCATTGTAATTCAGTTTTTTTAACTGCGAAAATGGATTTTAATAAACCAAAATGAAATGAAATGAGATAGTTGTGGGCATCCATCATTCCTATGTTATTCAAACAATGCTCCATAATAGTAAAATGATATTGTATCTGCATGAAGGAAGTGAGTTATACTGCAGCCAGTTGTAAAAACTTGATCCTTGAAGTAGCAGGGCCATATAGTTCTATAATTGATAAGGATTAAATCTCTAAAGTTTTGAGAGATTTGGAATAATACTTTCTTTCTCTTTCACCTTAGTGTGTTCCTTTATTTTCCAGGAAGGAAATGGGTGATCTTGAGGATTTTGCAAACGCCACCAGTCCTGAAGGCTGTCATCGTGGGTTGTAGTCTACAGATGTTCCAGCAGTTGGCTGGTATAAACACAGTCATGTAAGTTGTCGACGGAATGTTGGAACAAGTCTAGAACTTGTATTTGTTCTGTTCATGCTGTTAGACCTTGTAAGCAGAACAAGTTTTGTTGGGAAAATGCTAAAAAAATCCCACTCCTTAAACCAAAATGACAAAATTATTGTTGGTGCTGAAAAATGCAAGACTACACTCTTGTTTTGAGGATCACCTATAAATTTCAGTGTGGGTATTCTTTTACCCCTGTGATGGTGTTTTCACTGCCCAGGTATTACAGTGCAACAATTATTCGCATGTCAGGGGTCAGAGACAACTCCACCGTCATCTGGTTGGCCGCTGTTGTGGGTTTTGTCAATTTCCTCTTCACATTTGTCGGTGTCTACTTGGTGGACAAAATTGGCCGACGAATTCTTACCTTGGGAAGTCTGTCAGGTTGGTTTACATTTTTCTTCGTCAGCCTGGTAATGAACGGAGATAGAGTCAGATCATGGAAATATTTCAAAGAACAATGGTTAACCAATGCAAGAGAGGTTGTGCAGAGGTCCTGTTGATATGTTACGTCGGTGCTTACCATTAATGGTTTGAAGTAAACCAAGGAACTGTAGTGAAACTTCCTTTTTGTTTTCATAAACTTGGAGTTGATATTTATTACCAGTTTGCAATTGTAAAAGTATTCATATTTATGGTCAGAGTATTGTAGGGTTTTGTTCCATGGAGTTTATGACAGTTTTGCCCCTCTTAACAGGCTGGTGATACTATTGTGTTTAACTACAGTAATTGGGGAAATAACCTCATATCTGCAAAACGATATGACATTTCTGTATGCTATTTCAACATTTCACGTAATATCGTTCAAGTGTGTACGTATCAGTGTATGGGGAAAAATTAAAGTGACATTTTGTGCTTTAGTTATGCACATGTCTGTTCATCTAATTTATGTGTTCCGGATTTTTTTTTTTTCATGAATATGCAATGCCGTATTTGTAAAACAATGTAATAAATAAATGAAAGAGGGGAAAAAGCATTTGTGTCCTCTTTACTTGATGTCAGTCAGCAAGCAGTTCTAACATCAGGGAAAATGTAACTAAACTTTGACCCTAATTCCAGCTCCTAATTATGACGGTATTTCTTTGCCAGAATTAACTATGTCAATTTATTTTTCTAGTCTATTTCAAACTGCCTGACACATAGCTGATACCTTGGTCCATTTTTACCCTACAGGTGTGACTTTCAGCCATGTGTTTCTCAGTATTGGATTCCTCCTGATGGCCATAAATTCCCCACCTGTCACAGTCCACAACCCTGAGGCCGGGCAGTGCAGCACGTACAGGTCAGTACCTCGCACAGTGCTCTGCATTCATGGAAACGATCTGAGGGGATGTTTGTTGTTTCAACCACAAGCCCCCAACGTCCTTAACAATAAATTTGGACATCTTGGAATATTTCGGAGGGGCGAGACCGGTTGAACCCTGGCACCGTGATTTTTAAGTCCGGAATTTTGCCACTTCACAAAATATTTACTTTTGTTTCCCCCACCCCACCACAGAGACTGTGATTGGTGCATCTTGCAGGAGGAATGCGGCTTTTGTTTTATCCAGACTAGTGGGGGCGCTGTCCTGAATGGCTCTTGCCTGCCGATCAACGAGACCAGCACAGAGTACTCCGAGGTTGGCCGCTGTTCGTGGGCAGCGGAAGTCGATAGCGAGTTGGAGTGGTCGGCTGAATACTGCCCAACCAAATTTGGCATCATGGCGCTGGTGGGGCTCATCGTCTACCTCATGTTCTTCGCACCAGGCAGGTGGACCAGTTCTTGTTCATTGGTCCTGGGTTTATCAAGTTATAGTTTTGGTTTTGCTGTGACGTCTCTGTAGAACGCAAACATCATTGGCGTACTTGAAACTGACTTGTGCTGTTGCTTTGCTGCATCGTGAAGAAGTTGTAGGGTTCTTCAAAAGTTTAAAAAATTCCCTTAGTGTCATTTTTGTGAGTTATTTCTTACCAGAACAAATTTCCAGCGAAATTTGGACCTGTGGGCAATTCTATGTGAACTGAAATTCCTCTTTCTTTAATTGGTGACAAGTTTTTATCTACTTTTATTTTATCTGTACAACTTTTTCTCAACTTACAATTGATAATTAGCTCAGTAGCGAAAATGCAAATTCCCACTTCTGTATGGAAGTCCCCCTTTATCCAGTAATACAGAACTTGGACCGTCTAAGTTATAGTGTGTGTGCTGCAGATCTTTAAATCTTTGTTCATAGTGCATAATAATGGAAACGTTTATTATAAGACTTGAGAATGTAATTGGTTTTCAAAAATAAAGTTTCTAGCAGTGGCCAGTCCATAGAGTGGATTGTTTTCAAACGTGGAGTAGAATCTTCACTCTAAATTGTTATTGGTCAGGAATGGGCCCCATGCCGTGGACTATCAACTCAGAGATTTACCCCCAGTGGGCTCGTAGCACAGGCAATGCACTCTCTTCTACCACCAACTGGCTATTCAACTTACTGATATCCATGACCTTCCTAAGCCTGGCCGAGACCATTACCAGACAAGGTGAGCCAACAGTAATAGCTTGGATAGCGTTGTACAAGTAGAACATAATTTGAGGTTGAATAGTCCATGCTAGCTTCCCTTGGTGTAGAGGGTTTGCATAGCTGCCATCTTGCAGGCCAGTGCTTTTGTTCCACTGGGTATATGCTCAAAGGAGGTTTCCCAGTGGAACAGCAGAACTGCCTAGCAAGATGGCTACCACGCAATGCCTCTATTGGGAGTTGACATATTCAGCTTCACCTCACTCAGGAACTAGTTTGTCAACTTCCCATGGTGCGTACACTTTATACCGGTAAGTATTTGACTTGCGTATTTCACTTGTGTGTGGATCGTTCTGCGCGCACATGGTCATCAGCAAAAATGTCGACTGGCAGGTATGTTGGATGCACCAGTGAGAATTCAGCTCTCAATCATGAATATGTATGAGGTATAATCATCAGAAATGATTGCACTTCTTGTTGTAACTGAGTCTAGTAACTGAGATCCTCCAGACCCAGACTGGTTCATTCTTTGTGCTTGGAGGTGCTCTCTTTCAAGTCAGGTGGGGCCTGGCAATTAGGGCCCAATTTAATGGCTTAGCTGTCTAGAGAATTCTGCTTACAACGCTAGCACAAAAAATGTCTAACTCACTGAGTTAGCAGAGAATCTTCAGTTAAGTGGTTTGATGCATGTGCATAAGCCAAATTTCTTGGCTAACCTGTGCAACACACCAACTGTAAGTGCACAATTTCCTGGTTTGCTTAAGTATTTTGCTAAAGCTAAGCAGAGCCATGAAATTGGCAGGGAACCTACGTACTGTATGGAGTGGTTATTTTATTAAGTTGATGAACGGCGAATCTCAGTGTTGGAAGTCATAAACTTTGCTGTATTTAATCTGAAGCCTTCTGATTGGATTCCTAAGTGCTGTAGGAAATTGCATTACTGTTCAGATCTTGAGATTCCCTTCTATTAATACCATCCGGCTCCACCTTTTCTACTCAATAAACCTGTCACTTTCCTCCAACTGTACATTTTCATCAAATGAAAAGGCGGAAGATGCGAAAATTAAATAAAAAGACTGAGTCTTCGGTTAAGCTAAGTGTGTAAGTTTCAGGGGCAATCTCCTTGCCTGTTAACGCAACACTATCTTGTCCTGAATACTCAGGGACATTTTTCATGTACGCTGGTATCTCGCTGGTTGGTGTCCTGTTCCTGTACTGCTTGTTACCGGAAACCAAAGGTCGGCCATTGGAGGAGGTCATTAACCTCTTCAGTAAACCCTGGTCGCCTTGTGGCAGAGGTTCTTCGGAATTGTACAAACCTCTTCAGGGGTCAGCCTTTCAAGGTGAAAAGGAAGGTAAGGTTTATTTGTTTATTTCTTTGTTTTTTTTTCTGTTGCATGTGATAACAATTACAAAGCTGTTTTGATTTCTTTCTTAGCAATGAATTGGATAAAGTATGTTTAAATCAATACCAAGGTAGAGTAAATCATTTGTTGTTTATGCAAGTTTTTGATGTGAAACAAAAAATATTTCGGAATCTGAAGGTGCTTATTGACTTGATTGAGTTTTAGCTCTGTGAGTACAGTATATTCCAAGATAATGCACAATGTTTTCTTATGTCGTATGAGTAATTTGATTCACTACGCTACACCCTGTGAGCTGCAAATTTCAACACAGACCGTGTATATGGGTTAAATGTCTCTTGGGCCAAAGGAAGTGAGCAAATTACTAAAATATGCACATGAAATTCATCTCCTTGGATCCATTTGCATTTCCAAACATCTTTGGTGATGTGCCAAGCCAAGTTGATAACCAGTCTCAAAAGATTTGAGAATTTTGCTCACTGAAAACATTTTGGGGAGTAGGTTGCTTGTTGGCTTATTGCCAGTACTTGCAGTGAATCACTAAAGAAAACAAAATTTAAAAACTTCCAGCTTTTTTGTACACAAATCAGTGTAACATTGAGGTTTCCTGCCCAGACTAACATGACAGTTTTGCTCATTTGTATAAAAATAAAACCAACAAAAAACCATCAAGAATTATGAAACAAAACTTGAAAACTAACATTCATCAGCAAATAAAGGTCTGTTTTTAATGTTTTTATTAAAAAAAATTGCAATCACATGAACTTTTAGCAGCCTTGGCTTTAAAACCAAAAAGGCAACGACTTTTACTTTCCCAGATCCTTCAAAATCCACTCTGAGATTTTCAGGATTTTGAAAGATTGAAGGAGGCACAGTCCAGGCACTGTGGTGCATCAGTTAGTTCAGATGAAGTCTCTTATCAGTAGTTTTGACTTCGTTTCCTTTTCCCCCTCGAAGTCATGGAATCGTCAGTGGACGGCTACGAGTCTCATTGGTAACGCATCTACTGTACACAATTATTTATGATAATTCTGCAGTTCTGGACCTCTGACAACACCCCCAAAGTTATCAAAAATGAAAAGTTTCGGTTATGTGTCGTTAAGTTTATCTTTCACGTTTGGCATGTTTGCCCCTTGATGGATGAAGTTTTGTTGACCATATTTTTACTTGGCTCCTACTCTTCTCTTTGGCAGTGTTTGTTTCACATGGACCTGGATTATGATTTCAGCGATCCATCCTTGGTTTATGGACACCAAAACCCGCATAGTGGATGGTGCTAACCAGCGTTGGGATCACTGATTGAGATCCACATCCATGTGAAACAAACAGGTCCTGAATGTTATCACTTGAGTACACTGTACTCACCTCATAGTCACTCTTGGGTTAACCCTAACAGTCCTCAGTCCTCCAACAGGTGAAGGATTGAGGACTGCTAGGGTTAATGCAGTGCAGAGATGTTGACAGAAAGAGTGCCAACATGAGTGTCTGAATTGTTGGAACCAACATGGTGGATTATGCGTCAGTGCACGTGGACAATTAGCCATTTGCGAGTTAAATTTTGAATAAAATCTGGCACACTGAGTTATCTGATTGCACATAAACATAACGATTTGAATTCCCCAGACTAAAGACACTGTTGCTATACCTCGTGATGCGGGGCAAGCTTTCGCGTAGCGACCACCATCTCTGGAATGGACTGGTTCCTTTGTGCCCTTCTTACCATTGAGAACAGTGTATTGTTGCAAGGCGTCTCTTATGTAATTAAGCAAAAGCTTGCCCTGAATCACGAGGTATAGCAACAGTGGTTATTAGTATGGAGAATTCATGTTGTTACGTTCACGTGTATTTAAAGAACTCAGTGTACCAGATTTGGGACAAAGTTAACTCGCAAAATGCTTATTGGCGCACAATAGCTGCATGCCGTACTGCAACCATAACAAACAACCATTTTGGTTCCAAGTCTGAACTTGGCGCTATTCTCTCTCTATATACAGCTCTGGTGTGGTGTTCTGACATCAGCTGTCTTCCTATGCACAATTTCAGTGTGTACCCACCCACTGGGTCTCCTCTACCTGAAAACAAATGATTTTCATGTACTCCTAGTACCAGAAGCACTCATTCATGTGCTGTTCTTACTGTCTCTGTGTTCATAGGCGATGTTGTATTTTCCTTTATTGCTTGATCCTTATTGCATGCCACATATATCGCACTCCCTTGAGCCCGTGCACATTTTACTCCTGTGCTTAATGGAAATATATGCCTTATATCTCAAATGCAGAAGTGTGTTAATGCCATCATTTGTTTCTAGGCTGTAACTGCCTTGAAAATAGGAAGTTCAAGACCAAGTTCTAGGGGCAGAAATGTTTGACAAAAATTTGGTGACCTGGATTCTATCAAATGTTCAGACGTTTGGATTATCATTTACTCCTTGTAAGGTCAAGAATAAAAGGTAGATACATGCAGCAACTCCCATGATGTGCTTGAGCACAAGTTCCACAATCATGCCGTAATTCCTTGCACGGCAACTCCTTGCATGCAAATGAAGTGCAGGCCAAGGTACAGAGGTTAAAGGTTCATTAACATCAGGGCAAGATCTTGGAAGATACATCACATTTGCGCACATGGATGCATAAACCATGTGATTGACGTTTGTTTGCAGATCAGCGGCAACCACTACTGACTCCCGAGGATGACGTGAAAATCCGGTGACTTTGCCACTGTCACCCTAGCAGTGTTTTCCAACCACTATTTGAACTGTAAACTGAAATTCCAAAATCTAGTATCAAGTCATGAATCTGCAGCAGTGCTCTATCAACACATCCAACAAAAGCAATAATAGATATTATTATCGGTAGAATCTGTTTAATCTTACTGATCGGAGCTGGAACAATAAACCATCATTGTTCCAGCGAATTTAAGCTGTTGAATTCAGAGGGAATGCACTTTGCAAACGATTGGCAATTACAGATCTTTCTGGACTAAGAAAATTACAACAGCGATAGCCGCAACAGGCTGGGCCCATAGTGAAAGACAGGCCATCACTGTAAAAGCCTTACCAGACAGATGAAAGGATACCGTGCACGATTTGGGGCCGATGGGTCGCCCCCATGTCCAATCTCTATACACACTCTAGACTATTGTTACCTTAAACACATCCCCCCCAGAAGTCTGTAAAGAATTCCTGAGATTCCGATCAAACAATGACCAACACAAAGAGGGGGGGTTCTCTCCGCCCCATATCTTGCATCATATGGATGAAAGAGGCAAGTCAGATCAGAACGGCCCTGAACAGAGACTTGGTGGGGCAGGGGTCTTGATGGAGCATTCCTTGTCTGACCAGCACCTCTTGAGCACGACATAAAAGGTAGTTATTGCTGGAATGTCAGGAAACATCTCTGAGTTGATTGTATGCTGCAGACATATTTTCCCTAGTCATCAAATATTCACAACAACATGGACTTTTCCCAACATTCTACCATTTTTATACCTTTTCTGTGGGATGTACATTTGTAAATGTAACTAGATACATGTACTCAGACTTACACTCCGGACGTGTGACAATATGATTTATGTCTGAATTTTACTGACCTACAAATCATAGAGTGTGTATCAAGCTAAGGTCTCTTTCTCCCACATCACCTACCTCCCACATTAATTTCTTCTCTTTGAGTCATGAAAGAGTAGTCAATTGTAGACTAAGACTTCACTGGGTCCCAAAGGCTGCCATTGTTAAAACTGACATTGTATGTTTTTAGCAGTTACTGCATCAAAGTATTGGATTTAGGCTTATGCAGGTAGATATTCTTTTTCTTGAACACTCGGTTTCTTTAAAATTACTAAATAGTGTAATATGTAGTAATATTTTATGAGAGGCTTTTAAGATAAAACAATCATGGTATCTTCCTCTATTTTTATACGCGTATGTTTGCACTTTGATTGTGGGGCACGATTTGAGCTATGGAGAAATCGCCTTATGCCTTATTGGAAGCTGAATTCCATGCATTGTTTGGTGGACTGTTCATTATGTGCCCCCCATCAATCTTGACTCAAGCATTTCCTTGAAATAAAGTTACTTGTTCGAGTATTAATCCTGTTTTTGCTGCATGTGTACGTGTAATCATTACCTATATCTAGTTTCCCAAAGAAAATGAGACTGACCAAAAAATACCTCAAAGTTTGACTTTGCACGTTCTATTAAAATGAAGCTGCTTGTAAAAAACATATTTGCTCGAAAAATGCTCCCTTTTCATAAAATCAGCCGATTAAAGAATTTTGTCGATATATAGCTTTTACACACTGCCATTCGACGCGTCTTCGTGTTAACTGTAATAGTGTTCCGATATCAAGTGTTATACAGTTGAGGATGAAGTCACAAATTACTTGGAGGCAGCTGGACAACTTGAATGGAAGAAAATACTTACTTTTTCTCATGGCTTACTTTCATTTCCTTCGGATCATAAGTTATATTATCAATCATGTTGTTATCCTTAAGACCTGAAAATCTTCTTTGTCTCTTTCCATCCAAATCATAATATTTTTCAAGACGCCTTGGATCATCAGTTGTGACAGAAATCAGTGTATCTTTTCAGCCACCGTAGTCATTTCTTAACGCAGCCTCTCTGATTTTTTTTAAAGAATTTTTTCGGAGAACTACATACATGCTTTGATATTGTCGCTCTTATAAAATGTAACAACTAAATTTGCGGAATGTAGTTCGAAATTCTCAACAAGGAAAATATCTCTTCCTTCCAAGTTTGTTTCTGTATATCTATGCAATCATTTCACAGCTTAAGACTGGAAATTGACGAAGTTTGGAGCAGTAAATTAATATACGGGTATACTGGATATTATCCAGATAGTGTAGCTGTGAAGAGTATTTGTGTGGAGTCGGGGCATGTGATGTCTTGCATCGGGCCATTTTTTTTAGTTCTAAATATAGGGCCTATATAGAGCACTATCCGTTCGGTAAGTGTGACGTCACTTCAGTTTAAACCACGCCCACTGCACATGCACTGCACATAGGGCCAGGGTTGCAGTAGGCCTACACCAAACACGCGCCCGTAGAAAACAGTGCAAAATCGGACCGCAATAGCACCGCCTGTTGACTCTCGTGAAGAGGTTGGCCTCCGTTTTTCCACTGTGAATTCAAGATTATGGCCAGAAGATAACTTTTCGTTTCAATTTTAATGGGGGTTAGCCACGAACTTTTTAAACTATTTTTTTTATTATTTGCATTGATCGCCCGTTAATGTGGAACCACGGGACCGGAAGTTAACGCGCAACTTCACCAATCGTCCAATGGGAGCGCTGAGCCTGAAACTCGTGGCGCGTCCGCCTTGTGACGAAGTCTCGAACCGCGTAGTGTCCATTTTGTACGGAAGCGTATGAGGGCCACTTACAAAATAAAAATTTTCGAGTTACTATCTCGCAACGGCTTCCATAGGCACCTGAATCGTTATCAGCCTCAGCCCAGTACATGTAATATGGACAAGCAAGACCACATAGGCCTAGGTTGCGAAGTGAACTTCGCAGTGCCGTACACGCTGACGACGCTCTGCCTGACGTGTGCGCGTGTACTGTTGTTTTATGATATAATAAGAACCACAGTTGACGGAGGGCGGATTCAGAACAAACTGCTTACAAGGGAGCCAAAATGTTTTCATCGAGGGGCAAATAAATTCAGGAATTCTGTATGTATTAAACCTTTATAGCCTTTCTCAGGAGTGAAAGCAAAACTCGTCGGCATTATGCATGTACATATACAAATGTATTACACGATCAAAAAGCATCGTGGGGGACATGGCGCCTTTTGCCTACCCCTCCCCACCGACCCGCCAATAATTGAAACTATGGGGTCCATCTCTGTAAGTGTAGGCCTAGTAATCAAAATTAAGAATATGGCACTTTAACTAACTACTAGCATTTTATTTATAAAAGCATAAGCCTCCATATCCATATTACACTTCCAACATCGAGTAAGCAAGCAAATAGAGAGAAATACTAAGAAATAAGTGGAATAGTAGCTGACTGAAAAGAGCAATAGGGAATTTGTTTTTAAAGAATAAGGATTAATTTACCACAAAAAAATCTATTAACTACATGGAAATGAAATCTATGCATGGTCGTAATGTTGCCTGTCGTCGGCGTTCGCTTTTCGGGCTGTTATCGTCTTGAAGCCCGGGGGAGGGTCCTCCGGTACCCGCTGCGTCGTGTCCAGGTGCGTCATCGGGAGCTCGTCATCGGGAGGTGCTCGGTCGTTGCTGGGAGGGGCCTGGACCGGTATTTTGGGGAACACCCTGGGCGTGGTCATGACGTGAAGACGCTGTAACGGAGGAGGTAACAGGTTTAACAACAGTTTGGTTTTGTGGTAGCGCGTGCGGTTTTGTAGGCGCAAGATGTTAACTTAAATCCGCAAGAATTTGGCTTTGCCGTGTCGTCGGGGTTCGGTCTCACCTCTCGGACAGTCCCAGGGGTAGAAAAGTAGAGATAGACGGCGTAGGTTGGTATCCACTGCATGGGTGCCAGAGCCATCAACCAACCCAGCATTTCTCCCGTCTTGGGATAGGTATAGTCCTCACCGTATTTGGGTCCTTGGTAGGCGATCAGACTGAAGAGAAAGATACCCTGCTTGCACCGGTGAGTAAAACACGTCCATGTAATGAAAAAGAGACAGCTTTTTAATATTTCATTCACTTTTCTGGCAAAAATGGAGTTAATAGTTTGACAGAAGTTTGAAAAATTACAAAAGTAGCTTCTTGACCTGACATTGCACTTTTGATATCAATAAATTTTGTCGCCCATTATCACTAGAGCGCATCTCTCAGTAAATAACTAAATTTAGGGTTAAACGTATGTTTTACGTAACTTTAATAATAATACGTAAATTTTATAATACAAAAAATACACCTACGTTTTTTTCGCATCGTACAGTGTGTGGCTTGATACGAGGTCTTGATGTGAATGTCTTGACAAAGGAGAGGTAACTTCAACGTTTTTATCCATCAGTTTGAAAAAAACAAACTAGCCAACCAACCAATCTTGGCCAGGGACTTACAAAGGACACCACCGGAGTGAGAACCATCCAGCTCACCGGCCAGAACCACCCCGGTTTGAAAGTGAGCATGGAGCCGATGTCGCCGTAGAAGCGCCGGGCGCCGTAGCCGTACGAGATGGCCATGCACTCCCAGCCGGCCACCCACAGCAGCGGCATCCCGCTGGCGGCATAGCTGTCCATCAGCTGGAAGATGTAGATACCTCCCTGATGTTGGAAGTCAAATGCACCAACAGTCACTGACAAAACTCAATTGAATTATTCTGAAAATTGATACTTCGTAAACAGTACCACAATCTCCTCGCCCAGTGGACGTCGTCTACATTGTATGACGACTAGATAGTAGTCTCAAAATGTAAAGACATCTTCCAACCTGGGCTACAAAATCTCCTATTTCTCACAACTGTAGTTGTGGAGAGGGCATTGACCAGACACATTCATTTCCCTGTTCAATGTCTTCTGGTGTTTGGCAGGTCAATGTCCTGATGTAGAGGTATGAGGTAAATACTCAGCTCTGAAAGGTGAACTATTTTTGTTATTAGTGCCAAGGATGTGTCTTTGAAGTCATTACAGTTTGTGCCCTCAGTGGGCCAATATTTCAAAAATGCAAGTTCAGCAAAATTAATACAGACATCAAGAAGAGGCACTGAAGAGAGATGAAGGTTTTGAATTTTGTATCTGCAGATAAAAACCACCTGTTATGCTTGGTTCTTTAGGTTCCTTTGCGGTATCGCTTTAGAGGGTGATCTGACTTTTAAAAACATTGCTGTTGTCGGGTGGCATCGAATGAGTGAAACTGTCTGTCTGTTGTTTTCGTTCAAAAGACCACTTCAGAAAGTCAATATTTACCGACTCGGTGAGGACATCCAAAATGTGAACTAAAAGCCGGAGTGATTTCGAAAAGTGGCTTGTTCGGAGGAAATGGTCGCGGTCCACAGCAAGCAACAACGCCACTTGCAGCTAAGTAAGGGGGGAAAACAGTTCCCTATACACAAACATACCTTGCACTCAATCGACAAAGAATCAGGTTCAACAAAGTGTATTTAAGCAATCCATGTTCTTGAACAAACATCGTAAACATCGGTCGGTAGTCACTTAACGTCTTGTCTTTAGCATTGGTTCTTCTCTCAGACTTTTGGGCACGGTTTGGTTTACTGAACGTCAGTACTTGGTAAAACATATTCCTCGAATGAATTCCAGTTGTCTAAAATATTAACTACTATAGTCAATTATTTCCCAATTTCACAGTAAAGAGGCATTTTGGAATTCTTTTATGTTAACATATGACGTTCATGGCATACTGTCACTTTCATCACACCAAAAACAAAGCCAAAGGTTGGGTCTAATTAACTATTTAAATAAAGACGAAGTCGCTGTGTTAACCTATCCCAGACAGATAAAACCCGTCAGAAAATACGTACCATTCAATTTATTTACATGTATTTTTTCATTTAAAGGTATCTTCTTTTCTTTGATCACTATTTATGCCTTCTGTGGTATTAAAATAAATGTGGTTTTAATGCAGATATACTGTTGTAGTCGTATTGTTTCTTTTTATTATTTTTTTCACGACCAGTGGACTTTGTAACTGGTTTTGCGTTTGCTTCACGTATTATTTTTTTTTGTGATTTTCCTTGCATTTATGTAACTATAGAATAACTTTGACCAATGAAGTCACTTATAGACCACGTTCAATTTGGTCAATCAGGTTTCCTTGTGACTGTACCATTAGACTGAACCAACTATATGCGAAGCTCATTACAGCCGGTTACCATTTTTTCAAGCAAACCTTATGTGTGTTTGGAAACACAAAATGCAGTGTATATGTGCTAGATTTCAGCGGTTTTTTTTATTGCCCATGACTTGTAAACTGATAATAAATTGATGGTAGGTGAACAAACCTCAGTGATACAGAACAGGTTGAGGAAGAAGTCCAGGACGCAGATGGAAACGAGGAATAATGTCCGTCTCTTCCTGAGGTTCATCCTCGGCCAGGCGTCCATGATGGATGTAGCGAAGCCCTCGACCACGCAGAACTGAATTACAAAACGGACAAATAATATTCATCGATGCGGCACTTTGGGGGTGCAGCCACATGGCTGTGGTTACTAAGTTACTACATTTTGACAGATATTTTACTTCATCTTGCGGCCCAGTCGCTATGATTTTGCATCGGTAATCTCCTACCACTGTAGTTGTGAACTTACAGCCCATATATGGACTTTCCTTTAATATGCTAGGTCACAGTTGAATAATTTAACCTGCCAGTGGTTGACAAACTGTGGGTGGCCATCATTATTTAAAAAATCTCACGCCATTATCCAAACACTAAATAATGAATACTATAAAAAAAATTGAAACTACCTCCTAACATGCTTGCCTGCAAAACTTATGGCTGCTGCCGACCACAATGCACGCGAACTTTATGCAAACAATGGACATCCATACAAATGGAAAAAAAGAGAAGGGTCTGGCCTTCAGATGACGAAGCGAGAGTTGTTCTCTATAGCCTACAGGGGAGCTATCGGCATCTTTCAACCTCTGTATCTTCACTCGGCACCTTATACGGGAAGTGCTTGCACAGTGTTTGCATTTTGTGACAAGGGTGCGTGTGACGTCATCACTGATAACAAAGTCATCAGTACCGGCATTCTTAACACCAAGACCAGAGTGGACATTTTAAAGGGTTTGATGAATGTGGTGTCGCGTGCTGTTCTTGAACGTAGTCTTTCGCACTCAAAAGGCCTAGTTTTAACAGTCAACTATTTATTGACCCTTGCTACAGCTTCTTGCATAAACAATATTTTTATGAGAATGTTCTTCACCTGACTGTCCAATCCAAGCATTATTAACATGCCGAAGAATAGAACCGACCAGAATGGTGCACCCGCCATGGTGTCCACAGCAGTTGGGTAGGCCACAAACGCTAAACCGGGGCCTACGGAAAGGGTACCAGACAAAATAGTGCCTAAGTGTTGGTAACCATATGCAGCAAGGTATAAGACGGGGAGAACCCCCCTGCTTTGTGCTGGTCATTGTCTCGCAGGAATCTGGGGAATTCCTTTCAGACATCGGGGGGGGGGTGGATGCGTTAAGTAACAATAGTCTGGAATGTATATAGGGATTGGACATGTTGGGGGTACCCCTCGGTCTCATTTCTTGCTGGGTATAGTTGGTACCGTCCATGTGCGCATGACTGGATTTGGTAATGGCATTTTCATTGCGCAGTGTCACGAGAGTAAATCGTTCTTAAACTGTCGTATGGTTCATTAAGCGTTTTGCGCGCCAAACAGTTTCCGATACATGCGGATCGTGCGTACATCGGGCTGCTCTAAAGATTCAAAGAGAAGGGAGCATAAGTTTCAAAGGTAGTGCAGAAGCTGTAAGTAAACTTGGTCAAGTTGGTTATATTACAAAACTCCAATAAATCCATTATGAGCTTTTCGAAGAGCTGCCATTGATATTATAAGATCCATCCCCATTACATTGTAACAAGTGACTATTATATAACTTATGTGTCATGAATGAACGATCACTTCGTCGCTGTAAAATTAATTCAACCAAACTGTCCTTTCACGACGGAAACTGTGAAAATCTGCGGAACGTCTAATTTTAGACCCACTGCACATGCGCGTTCCCGCTCCTAAGCTTTCTTCGTGACAAACTGACTGATTTAGCTGGACATATAATTTATCTCACCTCACGTTGACATCCGTGCCGTTGAGGCCGGCACACAGAGGCTATATATTGCATTGGCTGCGAAAGTTAATGATTTGTTTAGGTTGCAATCATTGGGAATCGGGCCGTAATTTATAAAGTTGAGTCTTGATCGAATCGGGTGGATCTTCACATTATTCCGCTAGCACAATAGTTTTGCATCAACATAACACTCGGTTTGTATCCTGCTGCTTATTATAACGTTTTGTCATAAAAAGAACATCCCAAATAGCCCGATTGGGCATCAGTTTCTACTGTATTTCAAATCCATGTTCAAACTTCAGTTTCGAACTCCCTGGACCGTCTTCAAGCCGATTTATTGTCAAATTCCCGCTTTTTGATGTTAATCATAATCATAAGGAATTGTAATGAAAGTGAAAATGTTGAGATGGACTTTTCTTTTTCTTCTTTTTAAAAAGCTAAACCACCTTTGTCACCTCTTTGTAAAGTAAACAAAGCACAAACATACCGGTATATACTGTAACAATGACGCTCCAGTGGTTATAAAATGGTGTTGGCTTCAAGCAAAAATGGAGAGAAAGAGCAAGAGATCTTACCCTCGTCAACAACGTCCTTCACATGTACGTCTTGAATGAAGGCCATGTAACCAAGAACAGCAAAGATAACCAGTCCCGCAAATAGACTGGTTGCCGCGTTGACTACTCCAACCACTATTGTATCGCTGTAGACAGAATCAGAAAAATCTAGTTCTGCTACTCGGCCCCAGATTAGCACATAAGGTACCGACTTTATCTTTGTTTTCTTCTACAAATGTCAAAAAAATAGTTAGTGAACTAAATTTCACTATTTCTATAAAGTAATCTACATAGTCGGCTTCAGCATTCGAGATATAGGATTTTGTACACTTTCTCATAGAAACAAGATTTCGTGGCTTAATGGTCAATTGAAAAACAACGATTTAATTGTTCAATATGACATATCAAGCCTTATAAACGTCTTTAGCTTTCCGATTCAAAAAGAGGGGAAAAATAAACTAAGAGGGAATAGAAAGATACCGACTAAAACAGAAATATTTAACCAGAAATATCCCTTTACAGATCATCTTTACGCACTCTTGCCAATGCCACGTGCCCCTAAGTGCAGGGAAATAAAATAGATCAAGGAACGAAATGTGTCGGGATAATGGATTTATTGTTTTGGACCTGATTTTATTGGGTCATTTCTAACGAACCCTGCGCTCCGCTCCGCACGTACACAGTCGTTTCGCGGCGAGCACAAACAACTATTTTTAGCACCGGCAAGGAAATGGATGAGCTCTTGCTTAAAGCGAGACGTCATTAACAGGCTTGCCTGTGTAAACTTGAATGCAGTATCCCGAATGGCTAATTTGTTTTTCGTCTAGCCAGCCGGTCAAAACAAACCACATTATCCTTCCCCTCTAAAAGCTGCGATTCTGTGACCGCTCACTTGTTTACCACTGTTTAACCCGACAGTGTTTCTTAATTTTATATTTATGGAAAGCAGGCGAGAATAATTCTACCCTTCAACAAGAGTTTGCCGTCGGCAGGCCATCAAGACTTTGTTCAAGTGACGCTTCGAGCTTTTAGCCGTAGTTGGGGATGGGCATTTTTGAAAAAGCGATCCCTTTTGTTTTCGCCCAAAACAATATTTGAAAACAGAGGAAACACCTGCAGGATCCAGGATGTCAGGAGAAAAAAAAAATGACAAAATTCCGCGGGATGTGGGGAGGGGAGATTTCTTCCCACCCCAGTAGAGACATATATGCCTCACGTGTCCACTGATGAGTACATGTACATGAGCAGTAAGTGATCAAACAATCTTTTGCGCATGCAGTAACGTAGCTGGGGGGGGGGGCTTGGGGCACGTGCCCCCATAAATTCCTTGTGCCCCCCCCCCAATAAAAACGGATGACTGGATATTGCACAAAGCCACCAAAGCTTGCCCCTCAAAAACTGCACCACTGGAAGCTGGTGCCCCAAACGATGCTAGAGCCCCTTTTGTGCCCCCCAGTAAAATCCTAGTTACGCTGTGTTTATTTTGTCCGGTCCGCCGACAATGAGCATATGGGTCGTTCGATCATTGCAAAAAATTTCGAAAACTCACCGCCCTAATGGTCGAGAGCATCCATATATAGACGCTGTCAAATCTGATGCCATGGGGAAAGCCACGCTGGGTACCAAGGGATGCCATTTTAGATCGGGACAATTAAACGAGTATGATCTAACCCAACGATTTATCACTTACAAAAAGCAGTTGTTCCTGTAAGGATTGTAGCTACCGAGAGAAATCAGCGAGCCGATGCCGACGCCATAGGAAAAGAAGATCTGTGTGGCAGCATCAACCCATACCTGCTCAATAAAAAGAGCCACTTTCAGTTAAAGCTTTCATTATTGCGTACATCAATTTTGATCGGACATGCTAATTGGACCCCTGTAAGCATGGTTGTCATATTGCACACATTATGATTAGACTCTACTCTGCGCTATAGTGTTTTGTAAAAACAGACACTTACAAACAACATTGGAACCATACTTTACTATTGGATGTAATCGTAGAACTATGCAGTTCAACAAGCAAAAGACACCAAGACGTCATAACGTCGATCGTTAAAACGTCCTTTCCAATCAAAATTTTTCCCAACGACGCTTGCAATTGATGTACTAATGCCTATAAATGTTTGTACATAAGACCTATTATCTAATCACACCGTCCAAATTTTACCGTAGGTTCTCCAAGTTTGTCAAACGTGGGCGTGACGTAAAAGCGAAGCCCGTCCATTGAACCTTCCAACAGTAAACCGTTTATTAGGAGAATGAGCAGGATCACATACGGGACTAGGGCGGTGAACCAGACGATCTGTACTCGATAAAACCAGACGCGGCCATTAAAGATTAATTCAAACTTACTTTTGGGGCTGGATAAATATACTTTCCATGCCTATTGTCAGAGTAAAAAGAAAACAGGAACATTGAAAAACTATACTGCTGCTCAGCTGGATCACTGGCACTGCGCATGACAGCATAGACATGAATAATCGACACCTCTGTTTTAAAACAAAAAGTGATTTTTTCTTTCTTCGTTTCAAATAATGGAACTATGGAATCGCAGTAAAGATGGAGTGAAACACTTTACAAAGGAAATGGTCAAGTAATGTTAGTAAACGAGTTTCGCTCAACAAAACAGGCTTTTTCCTTCCTTGAATCGAATTCAAAGTGATATGTCATTCTTTTAAGACAATAGACTTCTCTTCTCCCCTGTGGTAGAGTGACTGATTCAGCCAATTACGGCTTCCTCCCTTCTTTGGCAACATTTCAATCTTCTGCCATTGAGATCCAAACCTTTCCCGTTGTCTTGACTCCGCGCCAGATGCAGAGGAACGTCAAGACCCAGGCTAGCCCTACGCAGCCCACCAGCTCCCACCGCACGCTGCCCACGACGTTCATACCGGTCGAAACGCTCAGTACCCTGCGTCTGTCGGAAACGGTGGTGGAAATAGTTACCGAGATCTGTTGACAAACGCTTTGAAATTGAATGAAAATTCGGCATCGAAGTGGGTTGACTATCCCTACATGAAAATGGCCACATTGTGGCCAATGTAAGGCATAAACACGCAATTTCTCTTGATAAATGGCGACTGTAGCACTATAGCATCACAGGTTTACTGTGGAAGGGGGTGTTGCAAGAAAAAATAAGCCTCCTGCTTTCCTAATGTCTGGAAAACCTCGTGGATTTCCATTAGATAATCCAAACTACATGTATTATTGGAGACATCGAATCTCGTGTTTACAGCGGAAAGTTGTAATCATCGCTAAAGTTAAATCATGTGTTATTCAGTACACATTTAAACACCAAATTTGCCTCGAATCTTGGGAACTTTTTACCGTCAATTTTCCTTATATTTAAGCAATTTTGCGTGATAGCAGATGTAGCATTCAGCGTCAGTTTGTTTTATTTTAAATCATGTGATCTTTTTCAACAAGTCTAATGCCCTAACGTACTCCCAATACTGTTGCGCTGGTGATTCGGACAGGTTTCGGTGCAGAAGGGATCCATTTGTGGTCAGAAAAGACTCATTCCTGGCCTCCACCGTCAGATTATCCTGGAGTTCCCTGTCTAGACAGTAGACGTTGTTCCAGTCGTTTCGGCAACTGCGCCAAGGAAGGGGGCTGCTGAAGGAGGCGAAAAAATAGAAGATCGACCAGGCGCAGATGACGATGTAATAGATGTTCAGCATAGCGGCTATGTTCGCGGCCGCAAGTCCAACGCCTGAGTTGGAAAAATGAAATGAAAATTCTGCAGAATATTCATCATAGCTTTATAAAGTGCCACAATTGTTTTGCAGCTAAATTTACTTAACCTGACAGGGTTCATTTAAGAAACCACCGTCTACGGGTGGAGTTGTGTTATACCGCTTTTCTAAGTTTGAAAACGGTGTACGTGTACGGAGAACGATGTAGGCCCCCAGAACTTTTGCAACATCTTTTCTGAGCCCCGGACGGGACAAAATCATTGCAGTAGGCCTACTTACTTGGGCCCCCAGAACGACTTTAACTGGTGCAGTCGACCTGCCAGTGCGTCAAAGCAGGCCGTCTGGCCTATAAAACAAGCCATACCTTTGAGCGCGGGAAAGACGTCCCAGGTGCCGATGCCGCCCGTCTGCATGAGCTGGCCTAGCGACACTTCCATGAAGAACATTGGTACCCCGCAGGCTACCAGCGAGATGAAATATGGCACCAGGAAAGCGCCTAAATTGACAAACCATAAATTTTAAAAGTAGTGACCTCTGGAATAGAATTCCGTTAGAAAACTAAATGTGACCTAAATGGCTGAAAAGTACAGAGCCTTTAAAAGGAGTTAACAAGAAAGAAGAAGTTTATAACTTGTATCTCCGAGGATTGCCTTTGTTTTCAATTTGCATTCCCTGTAGGAAATCGCTGAGTACAACAACCCACCAGTGCCATGGGGGTGTACATTTCAAAAAAGTTAAATACAGTTTTTCCAAGTTCGTTTTTACGAGGCACACTGTCACGTTTTATAGGTTTGCACAGTCATGCTCTAAAAAGAACTCGTTCGTTTTCAATTAAGGCCTTAGTTACGATGAAATCATAGTTTTATTGTTGTCAGATCACAATATCATAACATCATTCTGTAACACGGGCTTTGAGGGCTTCTGATCTTTCAGCGAGAAAGGACGACCTCGTGAAAATGAAGTTTGAAAAAGTATACTTCGTATAAAATGAACTTGAAAAACATGTCTTGAAAGAAGTCTTTTTCTCCCCAAAATCATTTTTTTAAAAATTGTTTCTTGCAAAATCTTGGAATAAACGAACTTAGAATATAGAAAAAAGTTTTGAGTTTAATGGCACTGATGGACTTTCGTACTAAAGAGCTTTCTGTTTTGTTTATGAAGATTCGTGGGCCAAAGTGTGACCATTTCACGCTTTGAGTACGTGCTGACATGCCACAGACTTTTTTTAAATTTTTATGTTGGACAATTTTTTTATTCTCCGTCTCTTAGCAACGTTATGTAGCCAACGGGGAGGGGGAAACTGTACCCCATGGGGACTCTTGCCGCCCTTTTGACCGCCCCTGACCTAGCTACGTAGCCATGGGAATATTTGCCCCTCCCCCTTTCTCCCTTCCTTACGTTACGTCACTGCTTAGCAAAAAAACCGACTAATAATAAATACAAAGGTTCATAATCATATAAAGAGCAGAGAACCCCAAATCTGAGGTTAGTGCTTGGTAACCGAATCCAGACTCGACGAGTATTCCCTATCTGATATTAATATTTTACAGTTTACCACTTGTTGAAACCTGCCAGTGTGACGAACAGATCCACACACACCCTAACACACCTGTACCCAAGTTAAATGCTAATACTTCAAAAACAGACGGGCAAATGCCGGTCAGTGAACCCAAGGAATACGATGAGCCTGGTCGGCCATCTGTCAGAAGCTGACGATAGCTTACATCCCCCTTGATACTACCATTCTGTGTACGGCAACACTCAGCCTCCTTATAACTTGCATTACATTAAAAATGGTGACCCTTTCTCGATCAGCAACCTGTTTTTCCAACACCAGCTAAAAATGTCGGCCAGGAGGAGTGGAGTAGGACATAGTTTTGTAGTCTCACACGGGACATTTTCACAGGACTAATCAAAAGTGGGTTCATGCCCTCTCGGCACATGATATGTGCTAGGTGTGGGTATGTTTTCGCAACATACACATTCAAGTGGGGGCCACTAAGGTTATCTCTTAAGTGATGAAATATTTGGAGCCAAAACCACTAGCAGACATTTCATAAAGAAGATATTGGTTTCAACAGCACATGCATTTTTCCTCGTATTCTTCGTCACATATCGTACCAATTAGGAAGACAGATAACAAGCATTCCATAGTCTTCCAGTGACAATTTTTTTCAATAATGGCAAGAAGAGCCAAAGATTGATTTACCTCCTCCATTTTTGTAGCAGAGATAGGGGAATCTCCAGACATTTCCTAAGCCCACCGCGTAGCCGATGCATGCCATGATAAAGTCTACTTTATTTCCCCATCCTTCCCTCCGGACCTCTTCCTCTTCCTCCTCGCAATCGCAGCGGTCCTTATCAGCATCCTCCCTGTCGGCATCAAAGGTTGCGCCTTTGCTAATGACCTCAATGGCGCCGTTCACTTCCACCATGTTTTCGTAGCTGGACGGTTCGCCGTCAGCTCCCGATGCGATGGTCATTCCCGTCTGTTCTTCCAACGGGGGAAGAGTGCCCGTTCCTAGGCCGTCGACATTTTCCAGCGCCTTTCGGCTTCCCACGGAGTATTTTTCCATTTCAATCACTGCACTCGGCCTTGCAAAGGATGGTGCCCCAATTTCAGCATCTGACCCAGAAGTGGAAACTCTGGAATTCCGTCATATTTCTTGATGAGGAGTTAGGCAGGTTTCTAGCGAAATACTGTTGTGTCTTTCAGGTAGGGGCAGCGAGTTGTTAAAGACAATAGGTTGCGTCATCGCAACAGCCCAAGTAAGCGACGAACAGGGAGGACCCGCATGCACGCGCATGGAAACAGCCGGCACGTCACACATGCCGCAGTGTAAGCACGTCAGTCGAAGTGACTTCCTCGTGTTCAGAGTAGCAATAGTTTACATTATTAACCCCAGGGTCGACTGGGTTAGGCCTTGAACAGAATCCAGCTCGCGTGGGGTCAGAAATTCCTCATTTCGGTCACCATGCCAGAGGGTGGAGGTTGTGCGGCGTCGGTGAATGTCCTCTCGGGAGATGTAAGAGGATTTTTGGGTCTTACGAGACATCACGTTTTCTAGATTTATGGTTGAGGTTGAAACTTAGTGGTAAGGTGATGAAACTACGGGCAACTCGCAAGTGCTAAATTCGTCGCATGATTCTGTATGGAGGAAAGTTGTCAGCTGTGACTTGATGTTCATTAGACCACAACATAAAATATTTCCCACGAAGTTCTCCTGAAAAAGGCAAGAAAAAATCTTGAATTCTATCCAAGGAGTTTATGACTGTGTCTTGTGGGGTGTATAGAGAATTTTTGTTCACACGGTTGGTGGCGCCACACATTTTGCCCATACAACTTTTGTTTGACGATGGCGTGCTATTAGTATGATGCTATAAATTAGCCTTTCCTTGCTTGCTGGAGTATAAAACCAAAACAGCAAGTCCAAACAATATAAATAAAATCTTATAAAAGTGTCAAAACACTAAGTAAAAATCATGGCGTTTGAGGAGTAACGAAGAAAATGGAGATTCTTTGATTCGAACGAGCCCGGATGCGAATTCCGACTTACGTCCGTCCCTTTTTTTATAGCTCCATGCTTCACTTAATGGCCATTGTACAAGAGAACCAAAAGGCTTTGGGCCTACTACTGCTTTGAGCCGTGAGATAAATTCGATCCACTATCCAGCAGTGTAGCCAGCCATGTACATCTCCGTGCACATAAAAGCTTTACTCCTGGTCCAAGCTGTTAATGAGGAGGGGGTTAGCGTAGCGGTTCTTTCCTCGCTTTGCACCAATGAGGCCCGGGTTCGAGTCCCGGCTTGGCCCAAGCTCTAAGTGCATTTGGTTTCCAGTCTATACTTGCTCTCGCGGGTTTTCTTCAGGCACTCCGGGTTCCTCCTGCCTCTAAAACTGGACTCCGTAATCATGTGATGCTGATTAATCAAATGTATGAATAGGCCTAAACGTACAGTTATTGGCGCAACTATAGCCTGAGTTGTTGAAAGCGCCATTAAAACAAAACAAAAAGAAGCTTGTTAATTGTACCCTTCTTCGCTGGGTGCGCAACTAAGATCTTTTTTTCATTCACAAACCCGATGCATGCATATCAAGAGTGACACACAGAAACACATGCAGTCGACAACCAGCATCATCAGTGAATCGTCACAGGGCACACACAGTCCAACTGGATTTATAGTGTGTAAGTTAGCTGCAGTGCAGAAATGTGCCAGATTCAAGCCGTCAAATACTATCGACAAGACTGTACGGCGTTTGGGACTTTAGTACAGGGTGCAAGTTTGGCGAACAGCGCTACTTTGGTAACCACATTTTATTCTCTTCAAAGGAGACCCACATTTTCAACTTTGGAACTACTCATCAAAATCCCTCGGCCACAATAGGAAACAATTTCGTTTGGAAAAACATGCATTTGGAATATCATCTGATAAAGTCTCTAAACAACTTCTCCGTTCTGTACCGTCATCCATGAATTGTTATTGTTATAGTCAACTAAAAACAACTTTTACGTTCATAGCAAAAGAGGAATTAAAAACTGAGGTTACACTGAAAGTAAATTGACTACATGCGAATTAAGAAAATAGAACACAAAAGAAACTTTATAAATATTATACGTTGAAATTAAAATATGAATATACTGAGTGTAAATGACAAAAAATGATGAAATGAAATAAAACGGAAGGAGTACTAAAAATGAACATTTCAATTTAAAAATATAAGAGAAATTAAAGAAATGTTTAAATTTAAATGAAAATCTATAATCGCCACCGAAATAAAACAAAGTACGATATTAGCTCAGAAATCGGCAAATTCAGAGTGAGCATGTTTAGAACTTCAACAACTGTGTACTCAGCTGTTTAGAATGTTTATAATTACCAATAATTTAATGTCACGACAGTGATTTCTGTGTCTATCAAGTCAATGTACAGGTAATTGTACATTCTGTGAAATAGTCGACACTTTCCTGAATAGGGTGGGGGTCACAAGACTGATTTTGTTTTACTAAATGCTATAAATGGCAATGACTCCTGATTCAACCCTGAAGGAGAAATTTTTTGCCGAATGGCAACAGCCCACTGTATATAGGGCGCCCTCTGCAGAACTACGTGCTTAATACTATGATAAGCTTGGCCTTACGTGGGTCGAGTTCGGCAGCATGTTCTTGACAACTTGGTTTCGTGGTTTCGCGCTCGAACAGCCGGAACACGACCCAAGAACACTGTTCTCGGAACAGGATCACACATCACCTCCTTGATCGTCAGCGGTTTACACGAACACACAGAAAAACTCGTGAGATTTTATTTTTAAACAGTCGCAAGAACTACCGAGATGGCTTACAAAGCAGGACACAATGGAAAGTTTTGAAACATTAACACTAAGAATCTTCTGTGACCGAAATAATTCATTTTAATGGAAAAGAAATTAGCCCAATTATCCCCCCCCCAAAAAAACTCTCGAAGAATGCACAAAGACGCCGCCATGTTGCATGATGCTTGCCACGACTGCTAACGATAACCAAGTTGTACGTTCCCGGCGTTTGAGCGGCCGACCCACCAACAAAGCAAATTCGTGAATAATACGAGAACAAGCCGCCCGAACGCAGCCTATATGAGTTGAACTTCTAGATGTAGATTTCTGCTAAGGGTAAAATGCAGACTCAAAACTAAAGATCGCCAGCATTCAAATCATCTGTGAGTTAAATATTTATTCTGTCTGTCCAAAGGTTGCAATATGAGGTTGAATATTATAAACACTGGCGTCGCCATTTTAAAGGGGGGTGGGGTTGGCAAGACACATTTGTGTACGTGTGACGCGTGTTCCCTTCGAGGCAGCAAGCATCAACCGGAAATGCCCAACAACATCAGTATTTCTTTCAAAAATTAACAATCTTATGGCCCTTTAAGCCTGGTAAGGACACAGATTATTACCCCCAAGCTGATATGGTAAAAAAGATGCTATGCTTTTGCGAAGGCATGGCGAAAATTAACTCTCACCTCTGTCAGAAGAAACAACACCCAAGAGCATCAAACATTGTTTGTGTTGAAGATTATCTGTTTACCTTTTATTTGACAGTGCTTTTCTCATAATCTTGTGCGATTTTTCTTTATTAATACTGTTAATAGGATCTAAATTGAAATATTTACACGGAAGCTGCTTTGAGTGGTATCCAAATCATCAACTTTTGTTTCTGGAATAAGAATTATGAAAAGAAACAGGTCCGATTTGGACAATATTTTAAAAGGCCCAAAGGACTGATATTCTTGTTCTTCTTGCCAAGCACAATCCTCAATTCAAAAGGCAGAGGATGTTCTTGCAACAAGTCAGACCTGACAATTTGGTATACTTGATAACCCATGTCTTAATCACTAGCACAGTAGGTTTGCACTTTGGTGATCTTCATTATTTTAATTTAATTGAATTTTTGATTTAACAACCAACTATCTACAGCCATTAGAACCATTTGTATCCAGCTATCATTATAGGGCGGAGGGTTTGACACATTTTAACAATTTTGCTACACTGTAAACAGAAGTTATTCATTTCGTGCTCAAAATACTTCCGGTCTCGATGACTTATTAAATCAAGATGGGACTAATATGTAGTCAGCAGTGCTTGACTTTGGTCAAATTTGACTTATTTTTGACGAATAAATGTTATTCATAGGCCCGTCTGACTAATTTAAATTAGTCATTGGCCTTTCTGACTAATTTAAATTGGTCATTGGCCTTTCTGACTAATTTAAATTGGTCATTTTAGACAGAGCTGGACTAAACTTTTATTAGTCAAAATGACTAAATTTTGTTTACAGTGATACATCCACGACCTCCGTATAGCACAAACGAATACAAATGCATAGATAAATATATGGATCTGTTACCGTTTATACATATTACTTTTTCGAAGAGAAAACATAAAAGGTGCTTGTTTCCACACAATCAAAAGACGTGCATGGGTGAATAAAAACCATCAATGGTCGACTAACACTGCGACGACTGTGATTTCAGAGGAAGCCACATAAGTGTATTGTGTTCCGGCTAGAGGTAAACAAAAGTAAACGCGTCAAAGTGGCCGGTCAACAGTTTATAATACCATGCCATGGTTACTGAGACATACTTAGCAAGAAACGACTCATTGTGAAACCTTGGTGATTACTGTGGGCATATTGGCCTCAAGCATGATTTTGCCCTACCCATGCCATGCAAACATTTAAGATACTTATGCCAAACGATCCCCGGGAAAGTCCCTTTTGTGGACTGGATATGTGTCATTCTACGATAAAACTACTGTGAGCAAATACACTAGCAGGTGCTAGTTGCTAATAAGTTGGTATTACAGATTACTATTGAGGTAGAATTTTTTTTAGATGCAGTAAAATACACGGAATATTCAACGTCATCTGTACTGTTGTTTTCAAACAAACAAATAAAAAGATTTGGTTGATTGATCGAGTTGTTGTGTGCAGCTGACGTCTAAGTCGATTTCAGATCTTTATGCGTACGTCGGAATAAAAGTTGATGACGGATTTATATATACAAGTTTTAAAATAAAACATGCTCGAAAAGCGAAAAATACTCAAATGCACAAACCTATTTACCAGAAAATTAGCACAGGTGGTGCATGTATGGATAAGGTGCCAACCACGGCGAATAATTCATTGAGAAGAGCCTTAAAGAGGTATTTAATGCCTATAAATATCAATAAAGTGGTCGACTGGAGATGACTATTTAAGAATCTGTTCCCAACTAGGTATTTGTTCCCACACAGACAATATATTGGAAGAAATGACGTGTGCAAAATAAGGCAGACTTCACAGTATATCTCGCTGATATAATGCATTGGTTTAGTGTAAATACCACATGGTGTTAACTCGACACTCAGTTGTTGGCAGTGCATCAACTGCTCCCAATACCGAAGTAAACAATTTAAGTACCTGTTCAAGTTTAAGTACGTTGCCGATGAAGCGTTTGGATGCTGTCCCGTCGTGCAATGCACGTATAATGACTGTGATACGTATCAGCGGCTGACCTTTACAACTCATCACATTGTGTGGGCGAATAGAAGTCGAAAGTGTGTAACACTACAATCTTGATACGACCAAAAATACTTTATCAGGTTGGACACTCGGAAAAAAATCTACCACCATTGAAGAGAACAACTTATACATGAAGCTTAGAATCGAAGAATTTGTATAGAAAAGTTTACTGTTCGGGTATGTTCTTTAGGTTATAATTTCTTTTAAAAATACTTTAATAAAGTTCATTTGGACACTTAATTAGAGCATAACACCCAGCACATAGGAAACGAAATAATATTTTTTTCAAGTTATTTTATTTAAACTAAAACAAAGACGCTGGAAGGAAGTCTATGAAAGTGCAGCCAATAGAATGATCTCACTAGAACTTTGGATTCTGTCACACGAAGAGTTCATTCCAATTGATAGTCATGAAGAAAAACTCATAAGTTATGGACCATCACAGACAGCAATGTTGGAGGAAGGATCAAATCTGAAGGAAGGATAAAGAGTCAATCAGTCTGACCAGCTGTCGTATGCAAGAGGCTTTCCACAAAGGAAGCCATGCTGTAGACAGAATCTCTTCGCGTACAGGATATATAGGGGCATTTAGCTACCTCAAATCTGCATGCTGTGTGTGGCTCTCACATTGAGAACAGTGGCAGTCGGATATCATAGCCTCCGCTCGTAAGCTGGTTTTCCTGATTAAAGCTTAAAAATATGTCGCAGCAGCCAAATATTTTAAACTATTGATAGAACGGCAGCCTGGAACGTGAATATTTACAGACACAGTGAGTCGAGGAAACACCTTTAAAACTTATACAAACCTTCCATCGCAGGGCTGGTCAAAAAGGCCCACTCTACCCACTGACCTTGGTATATAGGTCAGTGACCCTGCCACGATCCCTTACATAGCCTCAATTCAAGTCGCTAATCCTACTCATCATCGCTATCCCCTATACCAACATCCTTACGTACGTCACCGTTGTCCTCGGTATATGCCTCGTTATCATGGGCAGTCTCGTCATCTACCGTGTTCTTGTAATGTGGAGGGATGCTGTCTCGATCGTGCTTGTCTGAGGACTCTGAGCTACCTCCTACGCTGCATTCCTCGTCTGGGAGAGGGTTCTCCTTCTCCTTGGGGAAGACGCGAGCAGTTGTCATAAGGTGTAGCCGCTGCAAGAGAAAAGATGGCGAATTCTTCATCATCATGTACTGCAAGACTATAACTGGATATTACGTGAAGGAAGTAAGCCGACTGATTCCGTGCAATCATAGAGTGATATAATCCAAAAGTATGACCTTTCCCCCGAAATGCCATGCCCATTGATCTTGTAACTTTTTCATAAAGGGGGAGTGCAGCCATATCGAAAAGACATTGTTCACAATTGTAAAAATCGCACTTGGTTCGAAGAGAGTAATTGCATATACTCTATATGACAATACTTCGTCTGGTACATTATCACTTCCAAGAAGATGGACAAAAGAAGACCACTTCCAAAGATGTATCACGTGACACATTTTTGTGTTGTAATTTCTAATGCATCAACGGAGACGCAATCCGGACTCTACGTTCCTAACCCGGGTGGGCGCCAATTTGGTAAGCTGATGTTGCAGTTGGTTGGGCGCAACACAATACATAAAACATCACCTTGTGAATCATGTCTCAACATGAACTGTTTTGTGTTTTCTTGAAATAGGTTGCATTCATCAAGTTAACACTCAGTTAGGTTAGTTATTAATTAAGCACCAAGTTCAGATCTGGGGCATTTTTTTTTCGCTTCAAATTAATTATTATCGTTCCATTCTATTTATAAGGAGAAAAGTATTTTAAGTACAGGTTTCTCCCTTACACCGAGTGCTTGTCTCAGAGCTTGTGAAACAATTCACATTTGTCACAATTTGTAACGATTTACCTCTTTGACTGTGCCGGGACTGGTGAGGAACAGATAGAGGGCGTATGTGACGATCCACTGCATGGAGGCTAGGGACATCATCCAGCCCAAAATCTCGCCGCTGATTGGGAAGTAGTAATTATCGCCGTACTTTGGTCCGGAGTAGTCGACCAGGCTGAAGATGAATATTCCCTGAGAGAGAAAAACCCGCGAAAGGCCGAAATATCTGTCAATGTATGAAAACTCTTACACACTCACATTTGGTTCAATGCATTGAAAAGTGCACACTTTTTAAATATTCAAATTATCCATGGTTTCCCGGACAACTGACGGCGCTGTTACTGTGAACTCATGTAGGAAGACTAGGCCGTTTTCCAATACTCAACTTCTGCTCCGTTTCAGGCTTCAACTGTTTTTAACTAGCTGCTTTTGAAGCTGTAAGCGCAGTAATTAGTCCAATAGTGCCACCAAAACATCAAATAAGATGCAAGAGAGACAAAAATTACAGTAATCCAATTTAATTTAATCGTTTCTGGCCCACAGGAGGGGATTGGTTTTGGGAACGAAGCCTGAGACGGAGACGAAGTTGGGTAATGGAAAACGGCCCTGGTTCTGTGCACAGGTATTTCTGTTCAAATTGTAAGCCCAGAATTTACTACGTGAAAGTATTTCTGAGAGAGGGATTGATGATTTCTTATTGCTATGCACACAAACAACAATGAAACAGCAAAAACGAGAAAACTTAGTTCAGGAAAATCTACAAAAACGCAGGACTTTTTGTGTACAAGCCACTGTCATATTGAGGCTTCTTTCTGAGATGACATCACAGTATGGAAATACTCATTAGCATAAAAACCAAAAGGGTATTAAAATACCCTTTGAAACAGTGAAACCAAAGTTGAAAATAAGGTTTACTGAGGTGCAAAGGTGCATTTTACATGTTCGTAAAAAACACTGATTGCAGTCGCCCTTTGGCACAACCGTAGAATGAAAGGTCTTAAAACGCCCTAAATGTAGCCTCACATCCAAGAAAGACTGTAATGATTACATGAATTTTTTTTTTCGATTCTGTCCCCCTTCCACCAAAATTCTGGACCGAAATAAAATATAGTTCTGGGTCCACCTTCAAAACAGATCAAGACATAAAAACTACGAGTCTTAATCATAAGTTGGAAAGAAATTAACTCGGGAGTTCAACAAATGAGAGGCAAACTTACAACAGTGACCACGGGGGTGATGAAAGCCCAACTGAGTGGCCAGAACCAACCCGGCGTGAATGTAAGCATCGTGGACACATCTCGGTAGTATCGCCGGATTCCATAGCCGTAAGATATTGTGATGCACTCAAAACTGGCTACCCAAAGCAATGGCATGCCGCTAGCTGCGTAGGAATCCAACAACTGGAACATGTACATCCCGCCCTTAAAAAAAAGGACAACATGAAAGTCAGACTTTCAAATCAGCATCAGAATCGAGAATCTCTTCGCTTAAACAACAAACTCCTTGCACGAGGGAGTTACATTTACTGACGTATGGGGGCCAAATCTCCGCAAGGGAGCAATTGTTTGCGCGAATGACCCCGAGCTGGACAGAGAGAGCGCGCAATGTTCCGAGCAACGGAGGCTCCTGTGGTGGGTACCGCACTTTGCTGATTCACGAACGACTATGACATCGCATTGCTACCAACAAAATGAACACTCCCCACCCCACCGATTACGGGTACTCCTGCCCAAGACGGATGCGGCGCCAGAGAAGCATCTGGGTGTCCAACCAAGCACGTGTATATATTTGCATGGGCATTGGAACCGAGGCGGCAAAGGCAATGGATGGTTCCTCCTCCACGTCATCTGTTTTATCTCTCTATGAGGTTTCATTTAGGGATAAGCATTCTGAGTGTCTAGTGGCTCGTCACAACGCTGTAGTTGCCAATCTGCTTAGAAAATTACATGGCAAACGTGTCAGTGCGTCCGCCATACTGAGTCTTGAAATGGATCTATTGTTTGGTCCTCTGATATGAGGAGCACGGAAAGAGGAAATTACGCTGATGAGGTATGCTCTTACCTCTGTGAGACACATGAACCCCAGGAAGAAATCTACGACGCAGATGCAGATGACAAAAATGGTCCGATTCTGCCTGAGCCTGAACTCGGGAAAGCCGTCCATGAGGGAGGTGACGAAGCCCTCTACGACGCAGAACTGAGGGGGAAAAATTGACCAAGGAAGAAAAAAGAGACATCACTGACTCGTTGTCAAGTTAAACTGACCCACCTCATCAGCGAATGTGGTTTTGAACCTGCCAACCATTACCAACTTGGGCCTATGAAATGACTCTGTGAAAAATGTTGATTTGCTTGATTTTTTTCCTTCAACAGTTAAATTTATTCATTCATTTAGTTCATGTTGGCGACAAAAGAAATCCCAAATACGTCAATATCATATATACATAGTGAAAATTTCTACAATTAACAGGAACTGCCGTGTTAAGTTTGATTTATTGTACAAAGTCTGAATTACTACCAACATGTAGAAAACAGAAGCACTTTGCTTTTGGCTTTCCCTATTACACGAACAATGGTTCAGACTGGACAAGAAACATAACACAGGAGACATACGATACATTGGCAGCACAGACAACAGTAAGACATAACTGCTATCAGTTGAGACCAGACCTTTTAATTAAAGAATGGAAGTACACTGACATTATTACATGATCTGATTTTTATTATACAAACTAATAAGGTAAGTTTTAAGTTTTCTAGTAAATGCATTTAGCGTTGAGAGTCTTGTCAGATCCTTATTAAGGTTGCTCCAAAAGGACACATATCGTGAGATGAGACTATCTTTGGAAACAGAAGTACGGTTGTAATTAACATAATAGTTGCCTGTAGATGCACTTCTAGTTGTATGAGAGTGTACTGAAGAGACACTAATAAATTGAAACTACGCGGTAAATGATAATGTTTGTATTCAAAATTAAATTTTCACAAATTCAAAATGGGAAGGTGGTTCATTTTAAGTATTCCAAGCTCTACAAATAATAGGCTTGTGTGAGTAAGATAACCTGTTTTGGACATTATTCGGACAGCTTTCTTCTGGATAAGAAACAGCTTGTTTCATTGACAGGTCGAGCTGCCCCAAGTAGGAATGTTATAATTTAAGTAAGAAAGAGTAAGGGTATTAAGCAAAGTTGAAAGTATAGTTTTCGGTAGAAAAAAAACTTAATCTCTTCATAACGCCAACGTTTCTGAAAATTTTAGTAAACAATTGTGGATATGTTTACTCCAAGAGAGATTCTTATCATTATGAACACAGAAGAATTTAGTAGTTTTGACCTGGTTCAGAACAGTACTACGCAAACAAAGAAAAGAATTTTGTGTTTACTTATTTTGTCTTGACTTAAAAATCATGTAATTCATCTTGAGTGAATTAGCTGAAAGTTTATTTGACAAGAGCCATTCATTCACCTTTAAAAGTTCTGTATTTAGATTGCTAATGGCTGCATTTACATTATGATGGTTATTTAACAGACTCGTGTCATCAGTAAAAGGACTCTTTTGTCAGGAGTATTCGCAAAAATAAAATTATGGAGCCGTTTTCCCATGATTTTATTCACAAACAAAATTTTGGCTTATTCGTTTTTACCACAAGCATTATACGATATTACTTTACCTGACTGTCCAGACCCAACATGACCAGCATGGCGAAGAATATGATTGACCAGAAAGGAGCGGCGGGCATAGTATCAACAGCCGTTGGATATGCAACAAATGCCAGTCCTGGCCCTATAAAAACAATCCATACAAAATAGACGTGCTGTTGTGAAGAAATGCATTTGGTATAATTCACCTTCCCTCTTTTGGTCAGTATACAAAAGTCTTGGCCGAGGCAGAAGAATAGACATTTCTCATACGGAATCTCCTTGTCCTAATATGGTCTGTCAGCCTGTCAGTTATTCTTCGGACGAAGTCATAGGCGTTGTGGTCAGTGAGTTCAGATTTCACACAATCCACAAATGGCTCACAAGGGCCGATGGCTTCCATGTTGCCGACGGCAACCAAATCTTACAGATGCGTAAAGCTTTACTCTTTCCTTACAGTGGTAATGTCTATGCTGCGCGCTCCGCCATTAACATCTTCACTGACATGGAACAATTACCTTGTTCCGTTTGATTGTTTGGTGCACGGTTCTAAAAAGTGTTAGTTTGAACAACACACCAGACGCCAAACTTCAGAAAATGTTTTGCAGCACGGTGAGTTACGCATGCTAAATAAAAGGCACATTTGCCCAAAGGATTTGACGATCAGAAGGTAATGAAATATAATCAATGCAATACCTTCGTCAGCTACTTGCGAAACTTCCACATCTTGTATGGTCGCCATGTAGCCCAGTACAGCAAAGATGACAAAACCTGCGAACAGGCTGGTGGCTGCGTTCACGATACCCACCACAATTGTATCACTGTCGGCCAGAAAACACAGAGCGGGAAAGTTAGTAACGTCAAAATACCAGGTCAAGCATTATTGCTGCGTTTGAAATCACTGACAAATAATCACAGACGGTAAAATAATTGAAAGAGGATCAAAAATCACACGAAATCAGTGGTTTCCATTTAAGACGTACAAGTTGTTTCCAACCGCAACTTTTGGACACAGCTCAACACCTTTTCGGGTCCTGACATTACTTACATCAAAACATTGTTCCGGTAAGGATTGTAGCTACCGAGTGAAATAAGCGAGCCGATGCCCACGCCATAGGAAAAGAAGATCTGGGTGGCAGCATCAACCCATACCTAGAAATGACAACGAAAATATTGTTTTATGATGTCATATATTTCTCACCCGTCACACACTTTCCTCTATCTGTCATTCGAAGGCCGTGTCCGGAAGCGCTAGGCTATTCACCGTGACCTACTTCTGGCGAAGGGTATGTTCCAGTGCCGACTGAATTAGCTGACTTATAGTTCGACCATGGTTTAGACCATCTAGTCGACCATTTAGAAGTAGGCCCTGCGGCAAGATCACATCGCTGGTTATGGGCTCATGTAGTTAATTTCATTAATATGAAAATAATTGTGCGAGATGTCATTGACCGCCGAACGCCAAGTTGCTGCAAACGACGGAATGTGATTGTACAAATTAGTTGGATTAATGACGTTCGAGTGTGACAGTACTGCCAAAAACAGAAACCGATTCTGATACTGTATGGCATTAAAGGCGACAGAGGTACGTGAAGGATTACTGGGATGTAACGACTCGTGCTGAAGGTTAAGGTACTTGGCAGAGGTGGTAGCGAGTCAATTTTTGCAAATCCAAGTCAAGTCACAAGTCAAAAACTCATAGTTACAAGTCAAGTCACGAGTCACAAACATTACGACTGGAGTCCGACTCGAGCCTACATCCCGGACAAATCTCGTTGGGCCTCCAACCTCCAGACCCCTTTCAATGTTGCATCCATGTGCGTGGTCTGTGCTCCGGCTGGACATGACAACATTGACCGGGGGAGTGGGGGTGGGGACTAGAGAGCGTACGGCTACTGCCAAGTGTCCCAACAATTTTGTCCGGGATTGTAGTTTGGTACTCGTAGTCAGAAATTTGTAATAGAATAATGCCTAGAAATGTGGACTAGTAACCTTCAAAAGTTTAAACTTAGGGCCTACACAGGGTGGCCGAGTCGCAACGCAAACATCAGAATCGCAAGTCTAACTCTGCTGGGAGCTTGGCGCAGATGGATCCAACACAAACGTGAACTTAAGCCCAAGCCAAGTCACAACTTCTGGGTCTTTGCGTGTTATTTACTCTTTAACTGCCATTTAGAGGCAATTTACGGAATGTTATGGGTCTACAGCCATATGAATGCAGCACGAGCACAATCGCATACACGTGTAAATGGTATACAGGAATCGAAATGCCTTCGACTCTCTCTTGCAATCAGCTTCGCTATACAGTATTTGTAACTTGGTTCTTCGAATCAAGAGAGTCGTCTTACTTTGGCCTCAGTGAGTTTGTCAAAAGTAGGTGTGATGTAGTAGAGGATGCCATCCTCGGAACCTTCCAGGAGGACACCGTTGATGAGGAGAATGAGTAGGATGACGTAAGGAATGAGGGCAGTGAACCACACGATCTGAAAAAGACAGATAAGGCAAGGACAGCAATTAAGGTCAATTCCGGCACAGAATCCTGTCAAATCGTGTGGATTTGGCTGGTGATCCAGAAATATCTGTAAGGTGTGTCATGCTATCGTGATTACTTTGGCGCAACACCAATTTGTGCGAATCAGCATGCTGGTCAGAGATGATCTGATTTTTTTAAATTGTCAGTTAGTCTACCTTTCCAGTAGTTTTGACGCCTCTCCAAATACAGAGGAATGTCATCACCCAGGCTAAGGCCAAACATCCAATGAGGTCCCATCGGATACTACCAACGTCCTCAAACCCGCTACTTATGTGCAGTACTCTTCTCCTGTTAGGGGATGGAACGAAAGGTCGTAATGAAAAATCCGATAAGCCGGCAGACAAATTCACTATTTAACGAGGCAAGGTCATTCGGGATAAAAGTCCTACGTCACGGCGGTCCAACCATATTCAGTGTATGGGCGAGGAGCCGTCCGGTCTCGTTCACATCTTATCCCAAATGACTTGTGGCATGTTTCATTTTGTGCATGTATCGTTGGAAGAACTCTAATAAAGAGACCAATGGGCCCCGAGCAGAACCGAGAAAGTGTACAATTTTCATAGCAACGGAGGCTCCTTTGGTGGGCAATGCGCTTCCCCGGTTCACGAACGACTATGCAATGCAAGCGTTGCGGTCGCATCACCACCAGCAAGATGAACACTCCCCACCAACATGGCTCTTTTTAACCGACGAAGGGGTGCTTCTGCTCAACGCGGATTGCTTGCCACACTTACTCCCAATACTGTTCAGCGGAGGATTCGGCCAGTGGTTTGGGCAAAAGTGAGCCGTTGGTGGATAAGAAGAAATTCTTCTTTATGGAAGATGTCAGGTTATTCTGCAGCTCCAGTTCACTGCAGAACTCGTTGTTCCATTCGTTGCCGCAATCGTGCCAGGGTAGCTCGCTGGTGAAGGAGACAAACATGTAGAACAGAGACCAGGACACGATGATGATGTAGTATACGTTCAGCATGGAAGCAATGGTGGCGGCGGACAGACCAACACCTGGTGATTGTTAATTGAATAGCTCTTCAGTGATTCGGACTAACTGTGCAATGGACTCTGTTCAAGTTTTCTCAAACACTGCTTTCAGCTGAGATGCCAGGCTGTATTAGGTCTGCGTGATTTACCGACCTGCCGTTTGGGGTTTTGGGCATGATTACTTGTCTTGAAGTGTGCTGTGCAACAGCTGAAACCTGCATAGTTTGCCAGTTCTTCTCACAAAGAAGAAGTCACCAAACTGGAGTCATTACCAAAAAATGAGCAAATTCAAATTTGCCACCAAAGGCTGGTTCTCAAGTGTTGTTGATGTCATTTTCTGATAACCAATATCGAATAATGTTCCCCATTTTATGCCGTTATTAACATTTTTCAACTCTAGGGTAGTAAAACAATTTGTAACATGAAATACACTTTCTAGTTTCAAACTACGACTGAGTCGCTGTTAACATGCACCTTCATACCTCCCTAGCAACAAAATTTCTGGGTTCTCCAGTTTAGCGAACCTGTCAAAGTTGAAAACTATCGCTCCACGCGCATATGTAATTAACAGGGCAGGAAAATTCACTGGCACGCACGCGGGGACGGGAAAGCTGATGTTTCCAACAGCCAAGAAAATGTATCTTAACCCAACAAGAAATGTTGCTGTAGCCTATCTGGTACAAGTACATTGTTTTAAGTTCGTTATTAAAAGGTAATGATGGCGGGAAGTTTTACCTTTAATGGCGGGAAATATTTCCCATACGCTTATGCCTCCAGTCTGTAAGGCTTGACCAAGGGAAACCTCCATAAGGAAGATAGGTACACCACACGCCACCAACGACACGAAGTAGGGAATGAGAAAGGCTCCTAAAATGGGGACAACAATAATTTAAGAATCATTAGGCGTGTGTCCTATTCTTACGAATTGGTCATCAGGGAGACATTGTGTGGCACATTTTTCGACCTTAGGGAGACATCGGTCATTAGGGAGACATTTCAGTGTCTCCCGAATGCCCCATCTACCAGAAGGAGGCCGAATTTTATCGTCCAAATTTTGAGAGATGATAAATTAGGGTCTAAATTGAAAACATACGAAGTTTGGTTCAGATCAGATAAGGGAATATTTAATTATTGGACAGTAAAGTTTGTGCACGTTCTTATGGGAATGTCTCCCAAGTGACCCATTTTCGGTAACCAATAAACAAATTATATTTATCATATAATTTCCCCATGAATCGTGACTAAAATAATTCTTGTCTCTGCAATGAATTGATGGTATATGATTCAACCATGGGCATAAATCCCAGGGGATGGGGAGATTATATCCCTTCACTTTTGATTTTTGATGATTTATCCAATCCATCCCATTTTATTTTCAAACTGTCCCAAATTCAAAATGTATTAAAGGGCACTGAAAAGTGTGGCACATGATACAAAAACGTTACATGCACAGTTTGGATGTAACGTTTGAAAACAAGTGAACGCGTAAATTTACGTATACGTATCAAGAAAAATGAAAAAAAAATGTGCTGTTCATTCCTCTATACCCACCACCCCTTCGAATTCCACCCCCCCCCCCGTTGAAAAGCACGCAAGGACCTCAATAAAACAGCAGTTTGGTCCCGCCAACTATTCGATTTCAGATCATCTTCTCAAATGAGATTGCAGGGACATGCCTCTTCAAAACGGCAATCAGCAGAACACAATTCATGACTAATAATTGTTCATTATTGACAGTCAATTTCTTTCAATACGGATGATTCACAATAGTGCACCTCCAAGAGTTTGCAACGCTTAGACCAATCACAGCGCGCGAAATCTGTCGACCCTTTCCAAACGCGCATTGGGTAGACAGATTTTGCGCATTGTGATAGGTCATAGCGTTGTAAACTCTTGGAGGCGCACTATTGTGAATCGCCGGTATTGTAATTTTGTAAATGGAATTTTAATGCGTTACGGTATGTTGTTTTTGTTTCGTTTTCCCTAGAGGCTTTGTGTGTTTGAAAATGGATATGTTACTCAGTTTTGGCAGGGATAGATTCAGATTTTTCTGCTGGGATGGGGTTTGGGAAATTTCGTTCGGGGGGGCTAACTATAATGTCGCCGTTGGTGAAGCCATTTAATCTCTTTTTGTCGTTCATTTACACGCAAAATAAGACTCCCACGTGATTTATGCTTTCCAAGGGGTCTTCCGACCCAATAGATGTAGGATCTTAAATGGCAACGAACAGGAAGGAGAGACTGACCCCACTGGATCCACGGCCGTTTGGTTTGGTTCGGTTCGGATTTGTCTTTGTCAGACCAAATGCTATGCCTGTCAAATGGAAACTGGTTTGAAAATAGCCCAGCATTGCGACTTCATAAGGCCGAGAGAAATTTATCATGGGAGCGAATAAAACAAGTCGTATCACGCGGCTATAACATGTACTGCCTGGACGTCGTTCCACACAAAATTGATTGGGACGATTGGTCAAACTGCCGGAAGGGGGCGAGTTGCTCAGCTGAGTTTGTTTGTTCTTTCCGTAAATAATAAGCATTCACAGCGTATGGTTAGACGAATTATTCCAATTTAACCGCTTGGCACTGCAAGACAGGTAAACACGCATAATTTTCCATATTTTTTCTACGGAGGTCGTGTACACTCGTTTAGGAATTCTGTTTTCATTTCCGTAGTTGACGTATTAACGCGTCGTGCTTAGTTGGCTCAAAGCTCAATTGCAAGGTTGAAGAACTTGCGGGTAAAAAAAACTGCCCCAGAAGCTTCTTCAGGTAAAAAAATTCGATGTTAAATAGCTACAGAAATCTGACTTTTTTAATTCTATGTTTAACCGTAATTTCTAGAATTCAGAACAGAACTCCTCTTTACTTTTTCAAATTTCTGACTATGTTATATTTGTGTCGATTGGGTTGGTAAGGATAACGTTAAACTTTGCCGCGCATGCGTCGTTTATTTTAAAAAATATGACAGAGCACTATGATGTTTGTTTCAGAATTGGCTTTACTATTTAACACATGTGTGGTGTAACTTCTCAGCTGGTGGATTTTTGGGTAAGATTTAGTCGGGGTTTGGAAAGAATTTTGTCCCATATTGTTGGCAGCTGACATCTGGCATGAAGTCGAGCGAAATGTCACGAGCGCAGTGACTGTCCCACCCAATTAAATCTTGAAGATTGCTGCTTTGCTCGCTTATTTTTGATTTGGTCCACTCCTTGGTAATTGCTCTTAAAAAGAAAAAAAGTAAAAGAAGATTGACAGTTATCAGACAGAAGCTTGCTGAAGTATGTGGCATTTTATAATCTATCAACAAAAAACGTGACCGTGTAAATGACTGTTACATAAACACTTATATAAGAGGCAATATTGAGTGACGCATTATCTTTAATCTGCGATTACAAAACGTAAGTTGTAAATTTCCACTTCATGCAAAGTAAATTGCTGACCGTATAGCTTCGAGGTCATTAAATTCAGATCCTGGTGTGATTACAAGGAAATTACATCCGTGCCTCAAGATATTAAGATGAAGATCTTCTTTGAGATTTATATAGCATATCATAAAACAGGCGACAAATTTCGAGTTATTTTCCTCCGCCATTTGATGCATATACAAACGACCGTGCGTGGCTGATATCGTGAGGTAATTTTCCTGAAGTGTTAAGCAACGGATGTTTTTTTCATAATGGCCCATTCTGGAGGGTTTGAGGGTCTTCTTTTAAGGATGTCAAACCATTTTCCCGGTTATGTACTGCTGACATAAATCAACAAGATGAGCAAATTGACTGTGACGAACTAAAACGTCTGAAATTTGGTTGAGTTTCACATCGTTGTGTTTTCCCATTCATAGAAATAAAAAAATCAATTCAACCTTCGAGAAGGGTACAGTGGTGAAAAAAGGAATGAAACGCTGACACTAAGTACCAGCAACCTTCTCGAGCAGTTTCGATAACGAGTCGATTAAAAGCTAGTGCCTAGCCTGTGCAGAAGCACGATTGTAGGAATACGTTCGTGATCGGCGACTCACAAAGACATTATTTCAACATTGATATCTTAATGATCATTGAAGGGCATAAAAGAAGCTGGGCCCTATATTTTACAGCATTGTTATACATTCAGGAATTGACAAAACCTCTCTTTCCTCCTCGCTAATGGCCTTAATTGCCAAAGTATCGATCAAGCTCGAAAACTTTGTACTTTGGATGTTTTAAGGAGCAATGCAAATTTGTTTTTCAGGCCAGGCACACTGTGATGGTTACATTATTTAACACAGAACCATTATTCCTGGCTTGTGTTTCTGCTTCATCTTCACATTAACATCATCCAATCATCATAACTAATATCACGTTCTAAATATTTGTATGTGAAACTATGAAATCTCAGAAAAGTTGTCCCCTTTGGTTTATTTGATGCCAAGGTTAGCAGCATTGCGTATGATACTCTCCTAGTGTGAGGACCTTGGGCGTAACCCTGTGTTAAACTGGCGTGTGTTCAGTGACTTCTGACTAGTGTGCCGTATAGAAAAGACATCAACAAACACGATAAGCTGGATAGATCACCCGGAATACGATATTTAGTCATTGGGAAAACTGATTAAAATTTAACTTATGGGTGTACCAGAAACAACCATTGCATTCATCAGACTGTGCCGTTGAGTTCCACCTCCCCCATTGGTGTTGGCTTCGCGCCAAAACGAACTCGCGTGGACGATTCTATGTCTTGTACCTATTCAGCGCTGTGGTCTTGAATAAAATTACGAGTTCGCACCGATGTTCAGCTTTTCAACTTCCTTCAGAGAGAACATTTCATGATTAGAGAAAAGTTAAGGGATAAAATATCACTTTGATTTCAGTTTCTCTCTCTTTAACCAGCCAATGTCCCCTTTACTTTTTGGTGTGAGAGCGATTCAAGATCATAGGCAACTTCTGTACCAAGAGTGATGCCTGTCCAAAATATAACATCAACTTCAAAGGTCCCTAAAGTTAATTAAAGCAAGTGACCAAAAGGATTAATCCAAAAGAAATGCCAGATACTTTTCTTCCATCTAAAATGCGTAGGACGTTGCACAAGACATGTCTCCAAGTAAATTCACACCATGGAACATTTCAGGAGGAGGTCCTCAAAATCGTAAAGAATTGTTGAAATGGAGATGTATTGTGCCAAATATCAGAATCTACCTCCAAGAGGAAGTCGCATAACGATCTCTTTTAATAGCTTAAAGACACTGACAATTAAATGTATTGCCAACATTTTTTTTAATGAAAAATTCCAAGTCTGTCCTTTTTTCTTATCTCGTCTAAGCACAACACAACTTCATCAACTTTACACCAAAGTGAGACCATAGTTAAGAAGTTTCACTGATATCAAAATAGCTGTAGAGAACAAACGCAAGCTGCACTGAGCGTGAACTGGCGATAATAACGTCTGTGGGAAATTAGCAGCTGATTCGGGGGACAACCGATAGACAGATAAACAAGAAGTAAACAAACCCGACCCAGGTTTAGATGAAACCATATGACAGAAATGGTTTTCTTGCCTATGTTTATCCTGGCGCTGTACTTTGAAAAGATGGAACCACAAAATTTCTTTTTTTTTTTCAGATCAAACGTAATACTTCTGAAGCATCAGCATAAAGAAATAGCAAAGTACCCCCAAAGCAATAAATACCAAGATGATTTAGGACAATTCATTTATAAACCTCTGAAAAAGATTCTGAATGTCTTTAATGTGGTTATCCAGTCACGTTGTACGCCGAGAGGACTAGTAGAAAACTGAATTCAAACTATTCCTCTATGCTCCTTCGAAATCATCGCGCATTTCCAAGCGGAAAAAGGTGACAAAAAGGCATGGAAAAATCCGAATAAAAATGATCAAAAATGTCATACGGCACTTTTGACAAGTTCCCATAGCAATGGCTGCCTAGACTAATACATTCTATAAATGGGAAATGCTTGCTGAAAAAAAGTTGACGCTCTGCAACAATTAAGCTGGTCAAAATATAAACAAATTGCCAACACCCGTTGGAGTATGAGAGAAATTGAGCCCTTACCAAACGTAGTAATTTGGTTAATCTAATAATTATACCAAAATGGTACATTCTAATACCAACTGTCAGAATTTCATTGCCTTGCTTTAAGCAGTTCTTTGCAGCTTGACAAAATGGACGATTTCTTCCAATTAAGTATCGACCCAAACTCAGAGAACCCGAAACAAATTTTCTGCTAAAAGTTACAGATACAGAAACTAAAGAAGTTAATACTTAATCAGGAGATAATGAGTGGCCTTTGCCCCTGGGCTGGCCGCTGTTTCTTCTGATAGCGCTGTTTGCCGATGGCCTGGGTCGGTGTGAGGGGACAAACTCCACCGAGTGTGGGTTGCGAACAAGTGGAATTTTCCATCAATCAGCCGCATCGTAATTGCGATACTAACGCATTACCACAGACTGGAAAATGGTTATCACCGTAGGGTGATACAATGACTTCACAAAAATTACAGAAAATGGAAACGGGTTGCTTTATGCTATATGTCAACGATTTCTTTGTGATTTGTGGTGCAGATTTATTAGTGGACTCGATATAATAATGTAACGAAGACATCACCTCAGTTTTAGAACAAGAAACCGAGTTCTGTTTTCGTTGCCTCTCCATTTCAAAGATCACAAAGAGATATCTTTTTCTTATTATGCAACAATTCAAACTTCTGTGTCTTCCACTTTGTGATGTCATGCAGAAGATTACATATTCCATGAAAAACTCTCCATGCCCAAAGAAATACGGATATTTAAAAAGACCACCAATACAAGAGAAGGAAATGAAGAAACTTCAAAAGATATTTAAATTAATACGAAATGTTGGAAGAAAAATGGTGCAAACGGAACGTAAGTAAATTAACGCTCTAATAATAGTTTTGGCCCAAAATTCCTTATGGATAGACCCTCCTCTCAACAGCGCAATTAATAGTGCGCTTAATCTAGTTAGCAATACGCAGGTTGTGAATGGAACCCAACGAGTTATCGTGTCACATGGATCACAATATTTCAAATGAATGTTCTTGTCTCAAAACCAAGGAAAACAACACCTTATTTTGAGTGTAAGAGCTGTGTCGCTCCGTTTAGGTCATGTTGATTTTTACAGATGAGAATCTTTTGTATTAATCCCTTACATATGCTAAAAACTTCTCTCTGAACAAGCCATCAATGTGCAACATCGTGGCAAACTTCAAGAAACAAAAAGACGAAACACTCAATTAGCAGGACCACGTTTCTCGTATTCCCGGCCGAAAGACACACAGGTAATTACTCGCACAAAGCTCTCATTGCGATTCCTGATTTAATTACACGTACTCTTACTCTACCAGGCATCAGACGGGCTCAACGACTTTATATTTATAGCTTATCGAAACGAGACTCAGACGTCAAAAGTATTTGGCAGTGATTGCCTGGTTTCCATATCCACGAGACAAACGCAGAGAGCACCGCAACCGAGGCGCAAACTGCAACGCAGACATACGGAAACATATCAAACGGGAGCGTCGCCGATAACCCAGACATATGCTAACCAGCCCCAGACGGATCGGCGAAGTTGAGCCCGCTTCAACTTTTGCTGACTGTGTCGAGTCGCTGAGTAGGCCTATGAAACCGCTGGCATGACGGGCCTACAACAATGTTCGTCTCGCTTAGTACCACTCGTTTTGTCCATTCTCGCCTCATTGCTAGCATCTGCAGCCCTAATTGTCAGCAAAATAGCTGACCATCAACGAATTACATCAAACTGGAGTATCAGTTTGGCATCAAGAGGCGATATTGCCACCTAAAAAAGCATTTCATGCGAAATTTTTTTGAGTTTCGGACGCCATGTTGTTGAATTTTTTTTGGTTGGGTGAAGTCTTACGTGCCGTCGGAGTTTGTTACGATCACATATAGAAACCATAACAGGAAACTAACCAGGCAAAGTCCTTAATATTGGTCGAAGCACCTTCAAAGTCAGAAAGAGGAAGACACGGCCGGTCAGAAAGTAAGGACAACACAACTAAAATGATTGTATGGCATGATTGATTTACCTCCTCCGTTTTTGTAGCAGAGATACGGGAACCTCCAGACATTTCCCAGGCCCACCGCGTAGCCGATGCAAGCCATGATGAAGTCTAACTTGTTGCCCCAGCCTCCTCGATCAACTTCCTCCTCTTCCACTAAGTTGTCCTCGTCGTCGTCCTCTCCCATTTTCATTTGTTCAATATCCATGGGTACTATCTGGCTCTCTGTCGCCTCTAGTGACTTCGGGTTCACACTTACATTCCCGTTTACTGGGGCAGACGTTTTTTCCTCAGCCATGGTGAGTTAGTAGCCTTTTTCTGCCAATTCCAATGTCTTCGTGTATTGTGTTCGTCGGGTCACTATACCTATTAAGAAACTGGACTACTGTTCTTCTTCACAGTCTTTTGGGTACCTTGTCTCAGTAAATGCTTAGAGAGATCAAAAACGCGTGCGCACCCCACTTAGAAGCTTCAGGATAGTGAGCGGCTCATATTAGTGTTTACATTGCCGTTGATACGGGGAAGTACGTGAACGATTATAATAATGATAAGCGCGAGGTCAAGGGTTAGTTGAATATTTTAAAGGGCGTGCCGGTTGTGGATGATGGGAGGAACATTTATAAGTAAGTAAATTATCAGGTCTGTTTGAAGAGAACGAATTGATAAGAATAATTTAGCAGCGCTAACTGAAAATAATTAAATATTTGGTATAGAGGGGAAATAGATTCAATTTAAAGAGACAATTAAGTTCGCGGGAATCCAACGTACAGAATCCCGCCCATAAAAATAGAATCTAGAATCTGAGGTTTACCTAAAATGAAAGAAAATCGAAATAGGCAAATGAACAGCTTCCATGCACTGTGGTTGTGCTTTAATCTGCAATATACGCCATCTGTTCCACTGCTTTCAAAATTTACCGCGCTTGAAACGAATACACAATTGCTGTAGTGATAAGTCAAAGTTATCATAAATTTACTTGTTCGGTTTAGTCGGTTTAGTCACACAACCCCCCCCTTCTTCTGCTCTCTTGGGCACGCCCTTTAAGCTTCTCCATTATCCGGTTATGAGAGGTCAGGTCGAACAATAGGCTCACAACAGTTCTCTACATTGACACTTCTCATTTGCGACAAAGATTGCGTTTGATTGGCAGGATATTGGCATGATTAGAGCACTTCAACAAAGGATTTTGTGATATCACTCGTCGGTAGGTAGTATTTTTAACTTTTGTGGACAAAATTCCAGGATACTGAAAAGGGGCAGGCTATATGGTCTATAATTATGTTGAGGCTCCCCCAAAAGTGATACCAAACGATGTTAGCAATGTCGCCAATGCGGGTTTTCCAGTGCATAAAGCTATAGGTGTTAACCTGTTTGTTTTCGACGGCGTATTTAGCTAATACTGAAGAGCCTTCTCGCAAGTGTACTGCAAAATGGTTGAAGTTGGGTTTCTAACTTTCTTTGAGGAAAAAAGATCATATTCAAAGCAAGCACTGTAATCTCAATGTCAAAGGCTGCCATATTGTGCTCAAACTGTTTACTTATGTTGCCAAAGTGACCTCTGTAGCGATTTCGTAATGTTTTTATTTGCTGTCATTTCTAGGACCCGTTTAGTATGTGTAGAATGTGTGATCTCATCTTTAGACATGTTTGTCAAAGTTTTAAGTTTAGTTGAAAACGTACAAAACTTTCTGTGCAAAGGTTTTGGTCAAGCTATAGTTTGCGTTAACAGTAGAAATCCACTATAAATTATAAAGTGTGCGATTGAATTTACATAATTAACAGCAACAACAAGGGGGGATTTTTAATAAAAAGCTCCCCCCAGTCCGAAAGGAAACACGTATTTACATACAGGCCAATGATTAGAATTATTTTCTGCCGAATCATCCCGGATCAGCACTTCTGTGTTAGTGTACGGGTTGTGTTCTGGAATACTGAGAGTCTTTTTTAGAGTAAAACATGGGTGCACAGGTAGCCTGGAACCAAAGCGTTCAGTTGAACGAAATAAATTGAAAATATTGCCATGCTGGTCATACCAAAACGGTCATCAACAACTTTTGGACACGAGACGTCTGTATCCTATGGAACCTCAGCTGGTCTTTATTTTGAAATTTTCACATGAAACCTTTTAAAAACTTCCTTTTTCTTTTGTTTACGAGTTGCTAAATGCTTTGAATAGGGGGTTGAAAACACCCGATTTCAAAATTTGAAACTTCTTTCTGGCATCATGGGTAGTGTAATAAAGTACCTAGTTCTGTTAAAATAGCCATATGCTTTGTGATGCGCTTTAGCACAAGCTTCAGAAAATATTTAGTGACATAAACTGTTTCTCCGCGTATGTCTGTGGAGATTTGGGACCATTTTGTAGAAAGAAGGCAATGGAAGGATGTTTAAAGGATTTCCCCATCTATTAGGCCATTCACCAAGCCGCCCACCAACCTACCCCACTCTGTCAGTGTATCCGCCTCGAGCAGAAACGCCCCCTCATCGGTTGAAAAGAGCCATGTTGGTCGGGAGTGCTCATTTTGCTGGTAGCAATGCAATCGTGTACGCCTGCATTCCATAGTTGTTTGTGAACCAGCAAAGTGCAGTTCCTTCCAAAGGAACCTTCGTTGCAAGGGAAGTTATTGCGCCCTCTCTTGGTCCAGCTCGGGGCTCACAGTGGAGACGGCGTTTATGTGTCTTTGATACAATATAATATTGGGTGCGGCTTTTGAAACATAATCAAAATACACCTGCAATATACAAGTACATATTTAGCCTTATTCCCCGAGTTAAAATCGTGTCCTTCGTGAGGCTGGGATTCAATGTTCGGAGTTGCTGAAAAAAAGGCCTTGTGCTTCAAGACACATAAACCTTTAAATCTAATGTAACACACTTTTACTCTTCAAACCTGGCAACCTTGAAGTGATATACAAATAGCAACGAATGTCATTGGCTTTGTTTGCTGTCAAACATACCCCACCTAAACAGTAGCATGACAACTCAATTTGTCAATTGTGAACATGAAGCCCTCTACAAACATGGAGGGGTTCACCACTAGGTTCTTTTTGGGGTGGGTTAGGGATAACACATTTACCCCCAAGAAATCAACTACATGTTTATAGCACATGCCGTAAAGATGAAGTTTACCTTTGCTCATAAAAAGTCAAACTGTATTTGATATGTGAACATGTAAGACGTTATGAGTAAACCTCAAACTCACATCAAGGGTGTAAGATTTCAATTTGCAGTTTTCAGTATTACATTAAATCGGACTGCCAACTTGTGATGTCATGGGTGACGCCAAAGGAATGTGGATCTTTCTAAATTGGGGAGGAAGCTCCCAACATCAGTGCACCGGAACAAACCGTCAACAGCTGGGGGAGGGATTCATTTTTCCCTTTTCTCTTTTCGTTTTCTTCAGTTCCTCTCCTACTTCCTCTCCCATTTTTTTCCAAGAAAGCAAGGCAACTTTTCCCACACGACGTCTGAAATTATGTGGTGTTCATAACCACCAAGTTCATTCATGGGTGTTTAAAAAGCTACGGTCTTCAACACGGCAACAGATTGTTGGGATTACAGAAAAGATGTGCGGAGCGCTGTTGGTTAAATGTATTCCAAAACCCACAAAACGACCATTTTTTAGCGTGACACAGTTGTGATCTTCAATAATATGAACCAATGAGTGAGCTTATTGTTTTGGAAAATAGCGATCACCAAAAATGAGCTTAGTCTAACATAAAGTTTTGAAAAGAATTAGATTATCTGGTACCTGAAGGACGTTGTAGGTTTCCTAATGGAAGATGCTATTACCAGGCAGAATCTCCACCTCGTTATATATTATCATTACTATTATTATTTTCATTACCGAAAATGGGTCACTTGGGAGACATTCCCATAGGGACGTGCAAATGTTTCAAACTTTACTGTCCCATAATTCAATATTCCCTGATCCGATCTTAAACCAAACTTTGCATGTTTTCCTTTCAGACCCTAATCTATCATCTCTCAAAATGTGGACAAAAACGTTTCAATGTCTCCCTAATGACCGATGTCTCCCTAATGTTGAAAAATGTACCACAAAATGTCTCCCTAGTGACCTATTTGGAAATATTTTTATTTTTCTTATTATCATTATTACTATTCTATTGTTGCGTAGTATACCTTGAAGCACGCAATGTACTCTCTCGAGTGGATGCGCGAATACATGCGGTTCATTTCAGAAGAATATTTTTGAAGTCTTCAAACCTCCTTCGGTTTGTTTTATGGGCACCATTGTGTGCATGGTACGTTAACGCACCACAACTAGTTTTAGTTTAGCACCAAATTTCGTAAGTGTACTGAAGTCTAAAGTTCAGTGAACTAAAGATAAGCATTGTTTGTAAAACGACATGTGCACCGTCGTATCTCTTTAAACAACGCCAAACGTGTGTGTTATAGGTTAAACGAAATTCATAAATGATAAGTGAAACGGGGGGATAAAAACCGGCACAATGATATCAGTATCGCCCTTCAATGTCTTTTCTTCTCCTCGAAGAATACTTTGCATTTAGAGTTTAATCATTCAGTTTCGCGAAATAGGAGATTTGGAAAACGCCAGCTCATTATAAATTTAATGAATAAATGCTGATTTTCACTATCAGGCCTTTCACAGTCATCTATTTATATTGTTATGTATAAGATACCATAATCGGAAGCAGAGGGCGCTATTGCTGTGGTGTAAAATGTAGATAAAATGTTCTAGTTAAAAGTAAGGATTTTTACGCTGAAGGAGCACAAATAAAAGTATTCGTGCAGTAGGGTAACTTTAATGCAGTCTTTGCAAAGGCACATTGTTGTCCCATACATGCAGTTAAGTTAACCTTATTTTCATGCTACTTCGCTGCGCTCATGCGCATGAAAAACAGTTTGGACTCAGAGATCACAGAAGGCAAAAACGAAGAATACGAATTTGCATCTCCGAATTTTATTAAAGCATTGTCAGTAAAAACTGAACTGATAGTAATCAGTGGACACAAGAGGGCGCGTAGCAAGTAACGGTGCGCATTCTCGTTCGATGTGTATCCAAAGCAGAAACGAACACATCACAGAGATCCCGACTTGAGTCAAGTCTAGTTTTAGGGTTAATGCTATCATCAAACGTGGTGATGCGGTCTTTGCATTGTTTGCGCCATTCCTGTGCACTAATGTTACCATACTTTTTTGGTGGGGTTGCGATTTCATTGGTTTTTTTATTGCATGTGCTCCTGTGCATTAAGGTATCTTGCCTGTCCGGGTACCATCGAAGTACCGGAACAGCTGCAATGTTTTTGTAACGTGTAAATGTTCTACACGAACTATCTCAGGAATGTAATTTAAGATCTCAAGCGTTCAAGCAGGAAATAAGCTAAACTGGCCCTAAAACAGACTCAGTTTATATTCTGGATGCCTTGCAACTGCCACCGTGCATTTTTTTTTTTTTTTTTTTGCGCTTTGCCTTAATGG